GGAGGCCCCTTATTTTTCAATTTTTTGTAGAACTGGAGTGTAGGCCAGAGGACTGGGGGTGGGGTGGGGCGGTGAGAGGATTCACTAGAGACAGAGTAGGAACAGAACAGGCAGACTGACTGAAATACACTGCTGAGGGGAGCAGCGGGCGAGACAGGAGAGGTCTGCTGTGCCATGTGGGTAGCTCCCTGGGCAGGGATTGAACTCAGGCCATCTTGGTGATACTGCTGAGATTTAACCCCTTGGCCACCAGGGAGTCTCTCTGTGTGTATTATTTAGGAAAAATTCCCAGATGTGGATCTTTTGCTTTGCCTCCTGTAGGGTAAATGTTTTCCAGGCTTTTCTGCCCTCCCACCATTAGGATTGCCCTGCCTGATGAGGCACCTGCATTTGTTACATTGTTATAAGCTATCTTATTTACTTCTGTGGGCCATGGGAGGCGTATTGAGATAGTCATCAAGAGAAGCAGGAGAAGAGGCAGGAGAGAGAAGGGGAGAAAGAAGCCTAGAGTGAAGATAGGCTTGGAGGCCTAGTGGCCTCCTGGCCCCCCGGGACACCTGCCTGCCATGTACCTGTTTACCTGTTTGCCACACTACATGTAAAGCTTAATAAAAGCCTGAGAAACCCACCCAGGGCGCTAGGATTCTCCTTTACCCTGTGTGCTCGGATCATAGGAAACCTGCTCAGTGGCTCATCCTGCCACTACACCTCCTCACCAAAATTTAGAATTAAAGATTTTTGCAATTCTTAGACTCTGATAAAAAATAATAGTGTTCACCAAAAGGGGAGGAGGTGGTTGGAAAGAACTGATAAAGGGGGTTATTTCTCAGCAGTTAATAGAACCAAGATTTTGATGGTGTGTGGGGTATGATATGTTTTTATTGAGGTATGAAGCTGTACTCCTGAAACCAATGGTAAATCAATTTTAAAAATAAATATTTTGACTGCTGGAAAATTACACTGCTTTAAAATTTGCTTTTCTTTGTTATTGCTTGTCTTCAGGGATTGCTTAAATTTTAGTTTTATTCAAGGAGACTGAGTCAGTCAAAAAATATTTTGGCTCCTCCTTATTGCCTGAGGTGTTCTAAGAACTCCCTCATTATTTTGTCTGACAAGCTGTTCCTTCCCTAAGCATGCAATACAATAACCTGGTCAATCTCTTAAAAGACTGTATTTATCTCAAAGAAACATGAGAGGCTCTGTGTTTGCCCAAGTGTGCATGTGTGTCAGTGACCACACTTGAGTAGTAAGTTCTTTCTGTTACCCTGCAGCAGGGTGACAGTTCAGCAACTCCTATGAGAAACCATTTGACTAAATGAAATTTCATTTCTGAGAACACAATTTTACATGCAACATGGCCTGTCCCAAAAATGTAGTTTTTAAAAAAGGAATAATCTAATTTTACTTAATGAGTAAATGTCCAGTGAAACAGCAGTTCCCCTCATGTCAATCCAAGGAATTTATTTCTTGTACTGAGAAAGATTTAAAAAAGCAATTGACGGAGGGTATGATGACCCTGGATCAAGAAGATGTGGTACATATATACCATGGAATATTACTCAGCATTCAAAAAAGATAAACACATGCAATTTGCAGCAACATGGATGGCGCTGGAAGGGATCATGCTCAGCGAAATAAGCCAAAAAGAAAAAGAAAAATACCGGATGGTCTCACTCATAGCAGGAATCTAGAAAACTTAAATAAGGGACCAGGAAAATGAATATAAGAAAGTGAAAATCAAAATCAACAAAAAACTATGAACCAGAGACACTTTTTGGGGGGTGGGGGGCGGGAGGGGAAGGATTGGGGTCAGAATGGGGCGTTTGCAATTGTATGGGGGAATATAAAAATAAAATTTAATATTAAAAAAATAAATAAATAAAAAAATAAAAAAGTTAAACTATAAAAAAAAAAATAATGAACTGAAAAAAAAAAAAAAGCAATTTTGGATCCATGTTTTACGGTTCATATTTTACATTCCATGTTGATTTTTTTAAAGTTAGGGTTAAGGAAAGGGATTATGGTAACGGCTAAAAAAAAAAAGTGGGGTGAAGGGCTTCATTTCTACACAATGCATGATGTAACTCACTGTACACAGGTACAGTACTAGGAAATCTGAAAAGAACATAGAGTAAAAGGAAGTAGAAAAATTCTTCCAGGAGAGGAAAAGTGCATGGAATTCTCAAATTGTTACTGTTGCCCTCATTTCTCTTGCTGGTAAATGGATGTCTCAGCATCACTTGGGTTCCATCCATTAATCACCATTCTAAGGAGGAAGCAGGTTGTGTCCACACAAGTGAGACCTCATAATGCAGAGTAAGCTCCATTCATGGTCCACTAGGTGGAATGCAGGGGGCACATTACCTGAAGGCAGGCTGTTTTATGGATTTAACAATTCCCTCTAAGACTCCAAAGAAAACATCACGTACATTTTTTTAGGCTTGGCAACTCCCTAGCTAATATTTCTGCAGATCCCTGTGTGATTACCATATGTAGGGGCAGGAAGGCCACAGAGCAGGATATCTATGATTCGAACAGACAGGGTAAAGGAGGAGTCCTGGAGCCCTCAGTGGCTTTCTCAGGATTTTACTGAGCTTTTACATGTAGTGCAGCAACCAGGTACAGGGCAGGCAGGGGGGCGGGGGGGCCAGGAGAGCGGTAGGCCTCCAAGCCCCCAGCAAGTCTTCACTGTGGGCTTCTCTGGCCTTCTTTCTCCTGCCTCTGCTTCTCTTGGAGAACATCTCAATGCTGCTGCCCCAGCCCACAGAAGTAAAAAATATAACAATGTAACAAAATGCAGATGCCCCATCAAGGCAGGGCCATCCTAATGGCATGAGGGCAGAAAAGTCTGAAAATCACTCACCCTACACCTTAGAACTGCCTAATCCATTTAGGTTTGCAGTTTATTTTTCTGATCATCCAAGAGAAACATAATTTCTTAATTTCTTATGACCCTGGACCTGAATCTTAGAACAAACTGAGAAACAAGCATTTATTTTCTATGAGGCAAATAGGTTACTGAAGTGGAATTCTTCAGTTTCTGAAAGTATAATATTTAGGGTTTTTTTCACACCTAAAGCAACCTTACATTTTTCTAGATTAGTAATAATAGCTAAAAGTTATTCTGAGATCACCTAACAGTTTAGTAATAAGTGTAGGTTATTACTAACATACATAATAACATAATAAGTGTATGTTATCCAACAGCTGTATAACTGTTGGATTAGGGAATACTAAATAGCAATTGACTAATTTCCAAATATAAATTTTAAATTTGTATATGCTTGAGCAGAATCTGTGATTTGCTTCTAGTGGGAAAGGTGATGCGAAGTCATACCCTGGGTTTTATTATATTATGTAAGACAGTCTGGCCAGCAGACACTCTAGACTCCTTCTCTGATGCTGGCTTTGACGCAGCAAGCAGCCATGGATCATCCAACTCGGGAAAAAGAATTTTGCAAATAGAGGCTGGAAGTTGATCCTTCCCCAATCAAGCCCTTCAGTGAGACCTCAGCCCCAGCTGACACCTTTACTGTGGCTGCATAGAAGGCCAGTAAAACCATGATCGGCATGAGATACACAAAAACTGAGATGGTAAGTATGTGTTGCTTTGTTAACTTTGTAGTAACTTTTTAGGCTTTTTTCACACTTTTTATGCAGATACAGATTTTGATACCAGAAGCAGGACACTGTTATCACAAATACCCAAATATTGGGGATGTCTTTCAAGTTCCCCCATAGCAGTGGATAGAGGCTGGAAAGATTTTGAAGACCATAACAGAGAAGAAAATGAAGCTGAGAGTGTATAATTTCCTTTATAATGTATAATTTTATGAGGATAAACATTGATGAGAACAGAGATACCATGAAAACACTAGGTTTGGTTTAAAACACTGAACATGGTTAGAACACCCTCGGCAGATCAGGAACAGGCATCCATGGGAGGCCACTTACCATTTTCCGATCAATAAAATGTTAAATTTTCTAAAGGCATTTTTGACTGTCTCAAGCACAATTGAAATGAAGCTTTAGTTCCTAGAAGTCATACTTAATATTGAAAGTAAGATAGCTGATAACTTCTTCAGAGATAAGAATAAGAATTTGACTCCAATAAAGCCAAGATATATAGTCGGATCTAACAATTTTTCTGAAAAAATAAAGTTTTTTTTTTTTTTTTTTAAATCACTAAGTTAGATAATGTATTACTTAGCAGAAAATGCCAGGTAGTACATTCAGGTGGTAGGATGGTAGTGAGTAACAAAAGTCTTATTCTTGGTCCCTGGCATGCAAGCAGGATGTGGATGAGTTCCGGGAACACACAGCCTGGCCACACTGTGCAATCTGCTCAGCTATGGAACTGATGTGTGAGACAGATCTGTGTCTTTAATAGATTAAAAACACCCAGAAACACTGGGTTTATTTTTATTTTTAAAAAATATTTATTTATGCATAAAAGAACTGAGGTATAAGCTAGAGGTGCAGGAGTTGAGAGGATTCAACAGAGAACAGAGTGGGGAGCAGAACAGGCAGATGTATACTGAAATACACTGCTGAGGGGAGCAGCGGGCGAGACAGGAGAGGTCTGCTGCGCCATGTGGGTTAGCTCTCTGGCCAGTAGGGGATCTAACTCATGCTGTAGTGGCTGGCAGTAGTTTGATAGCCCTGTCTTTAACCCCTGAGCCACCAGGGAGGTCTGAAATACTGGGCATATAGCAAAGCCTCTGGTTAAAAAAAAAAAATCAAAATTTTGAAAACAAAATACTCTGATAACTGGTTGTAATTTTTAATGTCTTTGGAAGCAACCAACATGGTATATTTACACATCTTGTTCTCCATCTTTAATATCTGACTGCTCTGTACACTGTTGTACTGTATCCAACCTTTATCTGTACATCTGTGAAAAGACAGGCTATCTCCGGGATGCAAATGAATGGGCTCTTTGCTGTCATGCAAATGTTACCTGTGGACTAAACACAGGCAATGCTGGAATCACTACACAGAGAGAACTAGAGTTTTAAATGCATTTACCATTTTTATTTTGCTATGCAGAAACATACATTCACCATGGGCTGTGTGATGCAATTGACAGTGTAATGGAGAATATAACTTTTTGAAGGCTATATATAACTAAACACTAAATAGTTTAATTACAGTGGAAATTCTGTACAGTTTAAGGCTTGGCTCTGAACTAGATTGTAAATATGGACCGGATTTGGAAATAAAACACTTTTTTTCAAGTAAAAGAAGAAAAATCATTTAAAAATACAAGAAACAAAAAAAGAAAACAAAGCAACAGAAGCCCAACAGGTTTTTCTGGAGTGAAATTTCATAATATTGCAAACGAACAAAAATACAGATTTTCTTCCCAAAATAATGACAATTGACATATTTAGGACTTGTTAGGTAATTCTGGGAAGGTTTCCAGATTGAATACAGACCAAAGTGGACAACATGGAAGAAATCACATTAATTGCTAAAATAAGTACTACCTTCTAACAAATTAAATTAGATACACAAAGCAGGATTGTAAGCATTAAATATTTCCAGAGATCAGAGAGTCGTTACTGTTCATGGGTCAGAATAATAAAACCAGATGAAACAAGTACAAGATTCAAGTTGTTTACTGAATAAACTCGGTTATTGGCACATCTAATCTGGGATAAACCTGACACATCAGACCTAGACAGCTTCTAGAATTTTAGGGTAATCTTCATTTATCTGTAAACAAAAGATCTGTCACCTAAGAAATTGCAATTTTGTTTAGACTTTAATAATAATAAACTATGAAAGGCATGAATTTGTTTATGTGTTACATGAGATCACGGTTTATATTGTTGGTTATGAACGTGCAGGTATAGCTGAAAACTTAGACACTTTGTGAAAATTAAAAATGTTGCTCTTTTATAATTTTATCTTTGCTTCATGCAATATCAGTTTAGTGATGCTGATTCGGATTGCTTTATTATGGGAAGATCTCTCTGCCAGTGTCTTTATTAATGGTCAAGGTCAGTTCTTCCTGATTGAAATTTTCCACCGGCAGATACAAGTCAGTCGGGTTAGAAGAGGGAACTCCATATAGGCTCGGGTTTTCTTAGTGATTTGCATGACTGGATTCATGTGCAGGCTAAGTTATTCCTGTAGAAAGAGATTTGATCAGTTACTTATTCAAAAACATCTGAGAGTTCGTCCCAGATCAAGGTAACATGAAAAGTATCTTGTGTATTAGCAAATGCTCTTTTTACAAGATACTCAAATTCCAGTGCAAGTCACTGGTAGGCTTTCTCCTAAATAACTCTAACACCCAAGTGAAGCTCTTTGAAGAATATCTATTTTTGCTTTCTATCTTCCACTCATTCATCTACATTCCTAAATCAATGTTAGAGATTGTACTTATTTCATTTCTACATGTAAAACTTATGAGACTTCTATTCTATAACCAAGTGTGCAAGTAGCTCATCTGTTGCATTCAGCATTCAAAGCTCTTGGGGCCCCATGAGTTACTGCATGGCAGGTTAGTATGCGTGACAAGTCTGTGCACACAGAGAGAATGCTGTCTGCTCATGATGCGGCCAAGCAGCAGCTGGAAATGCATGCATCATCTGGAAAAACACGGGACCACAAGTCTGCATTTTTGCTTCCCCTGGAGACATAATGTTACACGAAAGGGAAGAAATCACACCAAAGAAAATATAAGACATCCAAAATGAAGGTGGTGCTCATGTTTCAAATTAAAAACCAAACCAAAACAGAAGCATAAACAAGCGATCACCAAAAATAATTACAATGGGGATAAAACTGCCATCAAAAGAAAAGGGTATATTTTATTTGCCTAGTATTTAGAACACACAATTGCACCTTTCAGAATAAAAATGCTTTAGTTCTGATGAGGCCACATGGCAAGTGAATTCCAATTTGATCTTTCAAATTTGGAGAATGCAAAGAGTACAGGATGTGAATTCAAAGGAAAACAGCAAGACTGGGCAAGCAAAGACTCCACTTTTCCTTTATAGTCTAACTGGCAGAGTATGCAAAAGGCACAGACCCTCCAAGCCTGAAAAATGTTAGCACCCCCAAACCAATTCTTCATTCTCTTGGGAACCAGCCTTGCAAATGCCAGTGAGAGAAAAAAAGAAAGGGAGGAGTCCTGTGAAGGATGAACAGGAAGTGCCCCATGCACATGCCAGCAGGCCAAGCCTAGTGAGTCAGCCCCGCCTCTTACCTGGGTCAATCCTCTCCATCTTCTGGTGTGATCTCAGTCTCTTTATGGACCACTACTTTGGTCACTGACATGTCAGGGTGCTGCTCTTTGGCCTCTTTAATTGCCTGAGCCAGCGCCTATCCCCAGGAAATCACAGAAGGACAAAGACAAAAAGGAGGTGGAACATGCATGATCAGAGCAAGGTGAAGTCTTATGAGCTAGATCTATAAACACAATTTACAAATGAGGTACAATGGTTGCAAAAAAGAATCGTCCATTGCATATTGGAAAGTAAATTCAGAAAATTGCTTAGATTACATGCTGGACGAGAACAGTATTGGGAAGGGGAGGGCCAACAATTGTGTCCCTGTGTCTCTGCAGGGCCTTTACGCATCACACACTACCTGGTCATGGTCAATGTCCGCATCTCCTGTGATGACTATTCGCTTCTCAATTCTCGTCTCTGAAATGCCTCCTTTCACAGTCTGAAAGGAATAAACAAGCATTATTAATGTGCCCAACTGGAGGAAAAAAGTCATTGTTTAATGGGGGCAAACAGGAGAACATTTAGATAGAGTTTTAAGTAACATCATTCTTTAAGAACTGAAACAGAATCTACAGCAGTTGCTAAAAATTGTTAATTTCAGAAGTGAGTAGAGTGGGCTCTCTTGCGTTTGGCTGGCCGTTGCTTTTGGAACACCTACCATGTGCCAAGTGCAGAAGTTAAGTGTTAGGCAAAGAGTATCAGAAAGTACTTTCCTACACAGAAACTAACATGAGGGCAAATGCAGCAGAAATACAGTGGTTCTGAAAGCTTCCAATGCAGCGACTTGGGCATCCTGATATTCAGATAACTCTCTGCTTGAGCAATCCAAACTGGAAGTTCTGAATATTAACTTGTATTCATTTGCGCTCACGTACTTTGGTGATGTGGGTGGTAGTGGTTGTGCTGGTGGTTTCGGATGTGATCGTCTGTGCACTCATTAGCACGCCCGGCTCCAAATCAGCACCAGGATCAACCTGAGCAAGCAAAGGAATAGATACCACACCCCAATGTGTTAACCTCTTTAGATGTCTGCTACATTAGTTAAGGGCATTACGATGGTTTTTTGATCTTCCACAATCATAAGCAGCAGCCTCTGGGAGTTGCTGCTATGAGTAAAGACAGAAACAAACAAGGGTGAGAGTTAACCATCATCTGAAAACAGGGACTTTAGACACGTGAGCAGTGGCTGGCAGAGCTAGTATGTCCCTTATATATGGCTGGGGAAGCAGGTTTCTGGGTATCTTTTCTACATTTTTTGATATATGAATATCTGCTTAAATCACCTACCACTCCATGAGGGCTCTTAAATTTAACATTAATTGCATTGAAATAAAAAAAATATTTATTTATGCATACAAGTACTGGGGTACAGGCCAGAGGTGCGGCGGGATGAGAGGATTCACCAGAGGCAGAGTGGAGAACAGAACAGGCAGATCTACTGACATACACTGCTGAGGGGAGCAGTGGACGAGACAGAGACAGGAGAGGTCTGCTGTACCATGTGGGTAGCTCCATGGCTGACTGGGGATTGAACTCATGCTGCAGAGGCTTCGGATAGTTTCCCAGTGCTGTGCTTAACCCCTTGCGCCATCAGGGAGGCCCTAATTGCATTGCTTTTGATGAAGACTGTTTGCTGTGTTCTCTGAGTCCCCACAGAGTTAAATATCATGCAGTTATGCACTATCACTAATGGAGTTAAACGTTAAATGCTTGGGCCCTGGTCTTGGCAGATGTCTTCTTACCTGTGATGATTCATATGTGATGGTTTTTGTTTCTGTGTGAACTACAGGCAATTCCTTGGTAGAAATATCTAGCTTTACTCCTCCTGGTGAAGCACTGCCAAAACTCATGGTTTCTGTCTTCACAGTTGATGACTGTACCAGTGGGAAGTAAGTAGAATGTTATAGGCTTTATACAAACACGGTTTTATACAAACACGGCTTTTCCCCCTCCCCTCTTGATTGATATATGTAAATCAGCACAGGTTAGTATGAAACAAATGTTTACATATTACATGGAAGGTAAGCTGGGGAATGAGGCGCACAATAAATATACGTCAAACAGTCTCCCCCAGTCCCAGAGTGTATTTTATATGAAATGTTCCAGGTAAAGGAAAACATTTTGAAAATGAAAAAACAATTTTACATAGCCCCTCCCCATCTCATAAAAGAACAAATAAGATTAATTCCCTGTATCACTCAGAGATCTCAATAACAGAGGGAAAGAATAAAGTCCAGGTATTTGTGCCAAGGCAAGCAATGGCTTTTGGTCCTTCTTCAGAAGGACACTCGTCAGAAATAAATTTATCAAGTCTTCTTATAGTTAAGATTATATGCATGGCCAGTCATGCATTCTCCAGGTTTATTGCCAATTACAGTAATTACAGCGAGCGTAGAAACCATTTCCTGGAACTATACATTATCAATCATCATTACATATGTCTGCATGTGATGCCACAAATGGAAACCAGCATGGAGACCCATCACTGCCGTGCAAGAAGGAAATAAAAGGAGAAACAAACTGCACTTGAAAAAGGTGGAGAATCAAACTTAGCTCCACCTTTACACTTCTCTAGATTCTAAGACTTGTGTATCAGTATTACGTTAGTGCTAAACATAACATTAACTACTAGTTACCTCAAAATGAGGTTTTTGTTCCAAAGTTTCAGAAAGGCGATTTGCTGCATTCTGCTCCTCCTCTGGCTTACGGGAAGCAGTGGCCATTTCTTCCTGCTTCAGTACAGCTTTATCGGCCACCTCCCCTTTGTCCTCTTTAGCCCCATCAGTCAGAACAGAGCCCTCCTTCCCTTTAACACTAGAAGCATCAGCAGATGCTGCCTGTGCTGCAGCTTCCATGTCCTCTCCTGCTGCGTAAGAAGCATCCCCACTTGCATGCACATTCATTACATGTCTCTCTTCCACCAACACAGTTTCCTGCACAACCTTCTCCTCGCTAACTGGCTGGGGTTGCTGGGTTGTTTCGGTTTCTATTTCGCTGGACTCCGTCTTGCTTTCTATTTTCTGCATGGGAGAAGATTGTGGCGTCAGTGTGACTGTCCATAACCCAAAGTTTGAAAAAAAAAAAAAAGAAAAAGAAGCAATGTACCAGGATGCCTACAGCCAGTGCCAAATGCATATAACCAGAGACACTTATAGAATATGTAAACAGCTTCCATTCCTGCTGCCACATCCATACATTTGAACCTGTGCTACTTTGGCAAATCCACAAAAGAAACAGAGTGCAGTGAAACATGCAATTAAAACAAAACAAAACCAAAAAACCAAAGCATTGCACCACATTCACATTGGCTTTGGCCGCTTTCTTCAACCCAACAGATGAAAGAAAATGCTTTCATAAATTATATGCTATTAAAATTTCTCAACAGATAAGGCTTTGAATATATGAAGTGTGTCCTTGAAAAGGAACTAAAGGTATATGACACACATATATCCAAGCAGGCACAAAGGAAATAATAATAATGTGACACCTTGAGGTGTCTAAGGCAAAACTACTCAGATGCAAAACACACACGCATAGCAAAAAAAGCAGCAAGGCAAGTAGGAACACCAAGGATGGAAGCAATTGACCACCTGAACCCAACTTTGAGAAGAAGTAGTAACCCCTCCTATGAATTCTGTTGGTTTTCTCGCAGATTCTAATAAACTGAAGATTTCAGAGCCATCCATGAGTTTTTCACCAGTAGACTGTTTAGTCTGAGTGAACAAAGAAATGGAGAGTCAAGTACAGAGACAGGTACATACATAGCACACACACATTCACAGTTGGTTAGACATAATTGGAGGTGGAAAAGGATAGAGGGAGGAGGGACGAAGGAATCTTAAGATACAGACTTTGGAAACAGAAAAGAATGGGAAATAAAATAGCAAATCGAGGTGACCATGAGCTCTTGTTTGGTAAAGCAGAGAGTTGTTAGGATTAGGGTGGTGCTGGTTTAAGCCGATCATTTTTCCCCCGTCATTGCAAGCCACAGCAGCACTACCAGATCTCAGGAACAGGGAGCTGGAAATAAAACTGAAAAATTTAATGCTTACGTTCGACTGAGGTATTGATTTAACCATGAAAAAAATTAAAAAAGCTAGGGCTGGCTGCTCTCAACACAAAGCCAAACAGCAAGAGAAACAGAAAGGTTCAGGGTGGAAGGGCACTGCCTCAAAAATGTCATGCTGGAATCTGAAACGGCGGCCCAAATGAAAGGCACTGGTTACCACGACTCGAGAAGTGGTCGACTCGGTAACGTAATGAGCAGTGGCGACGGTGGGGGCTGGGTCCTGGGAGTACCTCCACTCAGACAGACTCTTCCTTCTGGGACCAAAGGGCCCCACTTTTAAGGCTTCATTCTCTAGTGCGTGCTCTGTTTTGCTGAACCGTAGGCTCTCCAGGCCTGTGAAGAAAGTCGCCTCCCTGCCCACCATATGCGCTTTCCTGAGGTCGTCGTCTTCTGGACTCTGGCGTCGGGACTCGGCCTCCTTTATGGGAGCCAGGCACTCCGACACCTTCCGCTTTGGAGTGTGGGCCTCTCCTCTTCTGGTCTTCTCATCAGGTATGGCCTCCAGGACCTCGTACTCTGACATGACAGGAATGAACTTCCCCTGTTCTGACAGTCCTCTCTCCATTTTCTGGAAAGCTTCCACAGTGGAGGAGTCTACTCCCTTCTCCCCCTCTTTAGCTTTTCCAGTCATAGTAACAATTTTTCCAGATACGGTATCATAGGATCTTCCTACAGTGTATATTTTGTGTTTGTTTTCTTCCTTCGATTGCATTTCTCGGGTCAGGTCATCAAAGCTCTGCATTTCAATGGCCTCAGCTCTTAGCAGGTCGGTGGGGATGTCACCGGTTCTACTGCTCACAGTCACCACCTTGTAAGTCACAGTCATTTTTGAATCACCATCAACTACCTCAGTGGGTATTTTGTCTACAATAACCCAATCCTCTGTGCCCTATATTTAAAATATAAAAGCTAAATTAGAAATTCCGATGGTATCATATTCTAAAACAAGCATCCTTTAAGAAAACCAGGGCGAGAGCTCCACCCAGGTCTGTGATGTGAATGCACAGGGTTGGGATGCCTATCTAAAAACCATGACTGCAATCTGTTATCTGAAATCAATGAACTCTAACTTTTAACTTAGAATACTGTCTGCATGAAGAGCTTCAATTTCAGATTTCTTTAAATAGGAACATACTTCTGTGGTAAATTTCACAGGAAATATATTTGATCAAATGGTAAACATCTGACCATTTTATATTTCAAGATTAACATTAAGTTGTCCAAGTTATCTAGCATCACTTGGGTAGACACAAGGAGACATGTCTAATACTATACTTCATATCTGCTATTTGCACAAAGAATTTGCTAGCATTCCACAATTCTTGTGAATATCATTTTCCATGTTTGCAAATTATACTTTTGTAGTACAGGAGAGCAAATCCACTATAGCTCTTATCATCCAATAAATATTGAGTGCATCTGTTTTAAGGCATTGTAATGAAATATTCCCCACAGTGGGGACTTGTTTGCGCTTCTTAAGAATAGGGCATACTGGTCTCCACAGTGTTCCAATCTCTTTTATAACAGAAGTGCAGTTGCCTCGGGAGTTTCTTTGTCACTTTCTTTAGTGTTAGTTGCAACAAGGCAGAAGAAACTAAACTTCAGAAACTTTGTATTTGGGAAACCTCACTGAATGTGACCAGGCAGTTGACTAGTTTAACAGGTTACAGCAGGAAGAGACACTAAATCAGATGAGCACCTTGGTTCACATTTTAAACTAAAATGTTTTCTACTTTCATAATTACTGTAGCCTGAAAACTCGAATCTATAAATATGTGGATCTTGAGAAACAGAATTACACATTAATCTATATGCCGGTTGCAGGTTAAATGAAAAGAATGGAAAAAATAACCTCTAAGGTCGATGGGACAGTTTTCTGGAAAATTATTTGACGAGAGGTAACCTCAGAGCCCGCAGAGTCTCCTTCCTGCATTTTCTTTATCATACTCGGCTAGTAGGAAAACCAACAAAAGTTCAGAACTTTCACAACCAATCAAGATCATCTAAATTAGTATTCACTCTTTAAGTAAAACAGATAGTAAAGAGTTCCAACAATATTATTAGATAGTCATAATGCCTTAATGACAACACACAGACATAATCACCGAGGAGCAAGAGCCAGAGAGAAATATGGTATAGTGTAATAGAAACAGTAAATAGTAATGAAAATAGTAAAAAAATTCCTTGTCCCCCTTCCCAGAATCTAAGCAAAAATGGTATACCTACCTTAATTTTAAACAAGGTTAAGTTTTAAGAGAAAATAAAAACTAAACACATTTTAATGACACTGAAATCTGAAGAGCATCCTCACTTGGAAAATTCCTCTATATTTGTTTTTTACCTGAGACTCAAGCAATGGAGAGCTTCCTTGCTGCAAAAATATAACCTTTTCAGAAATCTCTCTTTCTTCTTTGGTCTGTTTGAATAAAGGGGGGGATGGGTTGGAGAAGAGGAAGTAGACAGTTTCCAAAAAGGCAAGTTAGGATGAGAGTTCTTTTGTTATGTTACATATATACTCATAGTAGTCAATTTTTTCTGAAGAAGTAAATTATTGTTTATTAATTTGAAAAATGGTCTGAAGTCATCTCAAAGTTTAATCATTATTTCCAAAGAGTAACTGAATTTTTTCTGAAATTCTGGTGTTCACATGACTCAACAATTTTTTGTTTCTCCAAACAGGATGTATAAAAGTTTCTTGGCATATGACTGTCTATATGCTAGTCATCTACAACACTATAAAAGTGGGTTTTAAAAGAATATATTCAGATAAGGGAATAATAATATGTTAAGAATAAATGCTCACTTCTATTTCTGACAAATGATTGATTATATAAGGAGTAAACAAATGCAGTTGGGTTACTGCACTAGCCATCACTTCTCATACATCCAAATTATACCTATAGACTTCTTTATTGTTCATGGTTGCAGCTCTATTTGACTTTTATAACATGGCGAATAATTTTTAAAAGTCAATTTCAAATTTCTTGGTGAAAAATTAAGTATATCAAGCCAAGCTTTCCTTTAACATATACAATATTGAATATGCTGTGTTACAAATGAGATTTTTCTTTTTATTTACTTTTTCCTGCTTACTTTAGTATTAAACAGACATACTTCAAGAGGTATTACTTAGTTACATTAACTGTGTTTTCACACAGCACAGGGCTCCATAGACTAGGCATAGAAATCCTACTTTGGAAATGTAATCTAAGAAATAACAGAAAATTCAGTTTCTAGATGAATGCAGCTTTTAAAATAAATCCTATTTTATGAGAGCTATTTAAAATCTATCAGTACGACATTTAATCATTTGCCTGCCTAGAGGTTTTAGGGGAACATCTGGAATATTCTCCTGAAGGACTGATGGATTTTGATAGCATCATTCTCAAGGCTGCTTCTTAATTAAGATAAATTAGACATTTTTGAAAGGGAAAAAAAAAATCCCTGCCCTGCCTGGTTTGGGAGGAGGAGTAGTAGAAAAGATAAAATGTACAATGTGAAGTCATTAAAAGTGAATTTTTTTCTTTCCTTAAAAAAAGACCTTCAAGGATAGTCTCTTAATAAATAGATGATCGATAGTGAATAAAACATAGGATAGAAAGGGCCAAATTATAGGCACTTTGCAGTATAACACTGCTAAGGTCTCTAATTATAATCACTGAGTAAATATTATTCCTAAGGTGGAAACAGTTTCAGCATATCCTGTTATCTGGTATCAACTAATCTCAAAAATGTCTGTGTCTGTAATGAATATATCACTGTCTGCATTCAGCTGATTCATGACCAATAACAAAAAAGGGTAACATTAGGGGACAGATATTAAAACTGAATTCTAAGTATGGTCAACCTCAATCTAGCTAGTTCTGCTAAAGAAAAGTGAAGAGGTACTGATGAAGAAAAATGATTTTACTGAAACATTTACTTTTAGGATGGCTTAGAATATAGTCAGATATGCACCCCAACCATCTTCCTTTAGTTAAGTAAACATTCATCTCTATCGCCTAACTGTGAAACAAGGCCCTACTGGAAAGCAAAATTCACAGAGGGGCACTCATTCTTGGGTGATTAAGGGTGTCTCTAGAAGTGTGGCCCTCATTTTTGCCTGGGCCAGGGATTCTTAAACTGGGTTGTACATTAGAATTACATGGAGAACTTTGAGATAACAGTAATGGGTGAAGTATGAACCAGACTAACTAGGTCAGACTCTGATGTAGAACCCAGGCATCAATATTTTAAAACTTTCCTTTAAGTGACTTTCATATGCACCTCGAGTAGCACCCTAAGGTCTGGCTGGCATGTCGCAGAAATCAAATTTCAGAGAGTGAGAAAATCCTCCCTTTAATAAGTAGATAAAGTTTTTGCCCAAGTTGAGGCCCATCTAAGGCCTGACTAGGAAAAGTAAAGCTGGATCATAAAGCAGGCAAATCACAAAGTCCATTGTAGTTATTCATGGAAGTTTGTCCTGTAAGTCATTGTGAACAATGAATTAGTGAATACAGAGACATCACCCCGAGGGGATATGCCAGGGCAGGCCCTGCAAGCTTCTGGTACTGAAATTCTCAACAACTGATTGATATATAACCTTGTTTTATATGCAGTTTCTCTTTAAAGATCTCTTATTCAGTATACATTGTTGATTCATTAATACTGACCCCACAACAGCCAACAGCATTATAACTCATTCATGAATAGTAGTTTATCTAACACTTGTATTTTCTAGTGAGGCTCAGTCTTATGACTGTGTGATTAGAAACACGAGACAATATGTTGGCACCACATTTAGGGATCATTTTAAATAGAAAATCTACAACAAACACATACAAAAAGCCTAAACCTGACACTAAATAGATCATGAAAAGGACATCTGTTTACAGTATAAGGTTAGAAATAAGAAGGCACAGTGCCTTTTTGCTAGACCTCAGCTGGGAATGTAAACATTCACTGAGTCATTCAAATTTTTCATCACTATGCACCTGTCTGTGAAAGTGCTATGAATATTGATTTTAGGGTTACAAATAAACTGTAGAGTTGGCGAATTTGCAGATATGAAATCTATGAATAATGACTATCAAATGTACTGTGTTACATACTTAAACAACTACCAGCTGCATTAAAAAAGAAGACAATATTGGCAACATGTAAGTACGAATGGTATTGCATTTTGGTAGGGATTTATACATTTTTAGTATTCAAGTAACTATTAAGGAACAGTCCTCAAATATGAACTAGATCTAGGTACATCATTAAAAAAACCTCAAGGGAAATATTTGTGTACTCTCCCTATATCTGTTGGGCCTTTTATGTGGGCTTGTCTATTTTCCAAAGTTAATGAGGGTTTGATATTATTTGCTGCTTTGGGGCATTCTTTTACTATCCGTTATTAACTCAAATACCTGAAATTTTAAATTCCCATTTTACAGTAAACATGTTATATTCTTAGAATATAATCACCATTACTAGCTCATTTTATATATTTCTAACTCCTTTCTTCTAGTTTTTCCTAAGTTGGTAGCATTTTATAGAAATACATTTATTTAGGATTAAAATACCATAGATAAAGAAAAATAGTCTCATATTATGTCAGAGGACAGTTTTTAAACTAGATTTGAGGGCCTCCCTGGTGGCACAAGGGGTTAAGCACAGTACTGTGAAGCTATCCTCAGCCTCTGCAGCACAAGTTCAATCCTCAGCTGGCTAGGGAGCTACCCACATGGCATAGCAGACCTTGCCTGTCTCGCCCGCTGCTCCCCTCAGCAGTATATTTCAGTCAATCTGCCTGTTCGGCTCCCCACTCTCTCTGGTGAATCCTCTCATCCTAATACCTCTGGCCTGCACCCCAGTTTTTGTATGCATAAATAAATCTTTAAAAAAAACAGATTTGAAAACACATTGTTTTATTACTGTGATTAAAAATAAAATCCATCTAAGCTTGGGATCATGAGCTTGGACACCAAATTTAAGTTCCCTCACCATTCTTATAGGAACAATATTACTTAATGTAATATTTTAAATGTAACATTTTATATGTAACATTTTATTAATATTAAATCATATTAATATTGAATATAAAATTATTAATATATAATATAATATTAATATTTATTAATAAAACATTAATATTTTAATGTGATATTTTAAATCATTTAAGAAATTAAATGCTTCCTTTAAAATATAGGTATCTTTCTAAACTTTCCAGTTATGGCTTAATGAATTTAAAGTGGGTCATATTAAATACTAGAATGATATCAAATTAGAAACTGATTTGATTCCAAAAATATTTCCCCTACAAAAAAATAATCTTTTGGCTAAGCTTACTATATGCTTTGTATATGTCTAGATGGGAAGATAAAATTGTGTTTTGTGCTTTTCGCTTTTCTTAAAACAAATCGCAAATCTTCTTTAAATAAATAAATTGGCAAAAACTAAAAAGCTTCATTAAGAACTTTCTGGGGTGTTTTTGGGCTATCTCCAGGGCTCTCAAATGGAGTATACACTTGGATGTCATCAATGGTCCTGGAAAAGCATGGGGAGGAGCCCAGAGGTCACGCTGCTCAACCAGGAGGCTGAATGGAGCTGGCGGGGTCCTGATGACCCAAAGGGGACCCTCTTCCCCTGGGACTTGAAACTCCTTATGCAGGCTTCTTGGATAACTAGGGTTAATCAGTCTTGTTTTTCAAGAATATGCAGCCAAGCTCTTTCTACAACTTCCTTTTTTATGGTGATGAGGGAGCTCAGAGGTTCAGTATCTGCTTAACAGCTCAGCAGAACCTTGAATGCAATTACTAAGCCAGTTTTGGTCTTCACCAGTCTAAAAAACCAAACTGCTTTGCTCACTATGGATAACTTTTCCATCCTTAAATCATTTAAAAAAAATCCTCTCTTGGGCTCATTGCATCTTTTCTATACTAAGAAAGGGCATTAATACACAGGGAAGTTTTGGTATATTTAAAGTAGCACCTCTTCAAGTTATTAATGTTCTTTGCCTTCATCAATGTCATTCTCTAGGAAGATTTTTTTTTTAATGATACTTCAAATGCTTTTTTTTTTTTTTATAAATTTTATTTTTATATTCCCCATACAATTGCAACCCCCTTATTTTGACCCCAATTCCTCCCCTCCCCGCCCCCCACCCCCCATAGAGTGTCTCTGGTTCATAGTTGTTTGTTGATTTTGATTTTTACTTTCTTATAGTTATTCTTTTTCCTGGTCCCTTATTTAAGTTTTCTAGATTCCTGCTATGAGTGAGACCATCTGGTATTTTTCTTTTTCTTTCTGGCTTATTTCGCTGAGCATGATCCCTTCCAGTGCCATCCATGTTGCTGCTAATTGCATAGGAAGTGAAAAAAAAAAATCTTTTCTTTTACTAATCTAATAGTGAGACTCTTAAAGTTTCTTAATTATTAGGGTCACCCTTTAACTTCTCTAAGTTATTTACCTAAACTCCCATTCAAAGTGGCTACTACCTATCATTTTCCCAAATACCAGCATGGGTGGAGAGGCTTGGCTTTTTTGTTTAGTGTGGTTATTTATTTTGATTTTGTAACTTAATCCAATGTCTGACATCCTCAGAGCCAGCATGTTCTTACTTTTTCTAACAGAGATGGTGGATTGGGGCCAGCCAAACTTGAACAATTACAACAAAGCTTATCTATATGGTGATACAACTGACATAGTAGTCTTGGGTAGCAAGTTTACTCTTAAAATGCAAGGACTACAAATTTAAATCATCTGAATGTAAAATTTTTGTCTCTGGGAGTTCAAGGAAGCTGATTGAAACTGGCGCTTAATGGTATAGGAATATTTTAGCCATAGTACTTTTCTATTTACTTTGAAATAAGGACCTTTTTCAAAGTAAATCAAATGAATATATACTTTTTTTTTTTTAAGCTGGGATTGGAACTGGATTGGAATTGATACACAACTTTCAAAGGAAGACTAGAAAATGATCAAAATGAGTGTAATTCTATTCTGTTTGCACTGCAAAGACCTACATGTTATGCAGAGATTACTGTTTAAAGGATTTTTCTCCCATAGGTCTAAATTTTCAATTTTTTCTGTTCTGTCTCTGCTTCCTGGATAAATATCTCATAATAAAGGAGTATGGACAAGAAAAAAAGTTAATCAACATGATGCTAGAAAAATGAAGTTTTAAAGAATTACTACTTTTGAAAGATAAAGTGAGATGGTATCTAATAGTTGACAGTCAGATTAGTACCACCACCATTTGTGGGTCCCACACAATGAGAGCCCTGAAGCAACACCAGCTGAATATTCTTTCTGGGGGTACATTTAAAGAGAACTGTCTTATATGATTAATACTTAGAAAAGATATTTTGGTCTCTACTTTCCCTATTAAAAATAAACTAAAAACTGTTTATAAATCAGTTAAATATTAGCAGTTATAAATTTAAATAATTAGTTATAAATACAACACTGACTATAACCAGTAAAAGCCTGGTGTAGTAGTCTCACAGTAAAATGTATCCAAAATGCTATTAACTTCAGACCACCATTTAGCCAATTTCAATAGGCTTCATGCAATTAATGAGAAACATTTATGAATTTTCTAGGCATTCCTTCATGTAGAAGAATAAAGTATATTCAGAAAAAGTGTCAGTTCATTAAGATAGTATCTCATTTTCTCCCAGCTGTGAAATCTAGGTATAAGCTGGTCTGCTCAAGAGCCTCCCCGTGCTTCCTTGTCACTCTAAGCTGCATCTCATGCAATTAGTCAGCTACCTAATTGTTTTAGTTGGCAGCTTTCCCTTGCAGCCCTGAGCACGTTAGTTTAGGTTATAGGAGCAAGGGGTGCGATTCTCCGCTTAGAAGTTTGCCAAATACTTCTCCTGGTTCCAGACTCTGGAGAGCAGTTAGGCTAATGGAGAGAAGACAATTGCAACCTATAGCCTGAATACCGACCTCTTCAGGTACAAGTGGCTCAATCATGGGAGCGTCCTCCTGCCTGGCAGCTAGTCGCACCGGGGAGGTAGAAAGCCTCTTTTCCCATTCATTCGTGATGGCAGTGTCTGTGGAGGTTTCTAAAAAGGTTCTTTTCAGCTCACTAATGTTGGTTTGATGTTTCATCAGGTCATCTTGAGTTTTATCTAGCTCCTATATTCAGGAATATAAAGAATCCAACAGTCAACATTTTACATGTTTTCCTTTCTGCTCTTTTTCAAAGTAATTTTTTTTTTTTAGTAGTCAAAGAACTATGATCAGAGCTCATGACACTATCACAAACACTCTGGTGAAAATGTGATCTTTCAAGGAAAAGAGAAGTAAAATATCTAGTTCAGGCAAGCATAGAAATCAAAGGAGCTTTAAAAGGTAAACTGTAGAGTGTAATTTACACATAACCAAAGAGAACTGAAATAAAAACACACACAGAAAAGGGGATCTATAGCTAGGAGAGTGTAAGGAGTTAGAGTAAGCTAAGAAGTCATCCACTTATCACAGCTGAAACACACGGTTCATGCATCATAGTTCGAGCCCACAGGTAAGGCACTAAAAAGAAACCAACACACAAACATGCACTGGTATATACCAATACCAACCTCTAACATAAGATTACTATGTTTGACATACACATTTTCACCCTTTATTCGCTTAATCAGACTATTCTGAAAAAAGTGGAGAAGAAAGGGAAAGGTAAAGAACATGGTAGTCACTGAACAATGCCATCGTCTACACTGCAACAACATCACGGCACTGGCTACAGAGCATGCTGGAAGATCTGAACACCAGAGACACACAATGACTTATCACACACTGGATTTTGTTTTTGTTTTATTTTTAATTTTCTACCTGTGCCTTGAGCTCTGCATCTTCCTCCTGGTCCGACTGCCAGCATCAAGAGAGAGTGGGAAATAAAATCTTACCATGCAATTAACTCTAAGATGGAAGGATTATGGTGTACATAAAATTGCTAAGTGAGGGCAGACAATTGTTCTTGCATACAGATGACATTTCTTTCCTATACAAAACCCACAATATCCTCAAACACAGATTATGAAGCTTGGAACGAAGAAACGAGCAAAGGTTCTTGCACAGTGCATCTTTAACCAGGGGACTTCCAAGTGTGACATGTTCACATAAACACATTTGGGAGGTGACAGGAAGGGCTCGGGAGGTGTTCTTTAATGAACAATGGAGATGGTTAAGAAGTGTGGTTATCACTTCAAAATTAAAATTAAAATTCAAAACAATGGGCATGATTACCCAGGAATGAGAGTTCCTGTAGTGTATGAATCCTTACAATAACCCTACAAGGTTAGCACTTACTATCACCAACCTAGACCAGAGAATGAAAAGTCAAAGAATTTAACATTTTCAAATTTCTTGGAGCCTTGAATTTCTTGAATCCATATTCTTAAAAACAAATCTGGGAGGGGAGAAGGCATAAATGAAGAATATAAAAAAAATATAAATTACCATAATTTCTTAAAAATATAGACAGGATAACTTGTGATGTTCTAAAAAATATTATTAGGAATATTTTTATAAATATATTATATTAGGTAAATTAAAAAATTTACCTAAAAGTCACTTGCTTGTCCTTATTTTTCTCATTTTAAGGATCTGTCCAATCCTTGGGCTGGGTTTTGAGTATCATCAACAAAGTAACTGGGCCAAGCCACATGCGTACACGCATTAATAGAGCTGTGTTTCTTGCCTGTGGGCTCTGCCCCTGGTCGGTGCTTTATGCCCAGTGCCAAGTAGAGGAAGACCAGAGAAGAGGGCAACATCTGATCTGAGCGAGTAACTTCAAGGAGCCAATCTGTCTGTGGTCCTCAGCTTCCTTATGTGCCCATTGCAGATCAGACTGCCTCCCCAGCACAGCCCCCTTCACTCTGCTCTTGTGCTAACTCCCAAGAGAAGATAAGGAATGCATTTTAAACAGAGGGCACAGCTAATTAACACAGTGCTGGTGACATGCTAATTGTTAAGTGTGTGATAGGTTTGCAATTCTTCATTTTATTTTTAGTCTTCTCAATGTACCTATACCACATGTATTTGTTTGCATGCTTCAAATGTTATATAACATAATTTAAAGCTGTTACAGAAGTTTTATCAAACTATTTTTCATTTATAGCACATATAGGATTATAATAAAATTTATTCAATGCATTAACATGCAGCTAAATATAATTCTGATAAAATCAAGATACATTTTTGTTCTACTGGGCAGAGAAAATTAACTTAAATTTACATGATTGTTTAAAATAATCTGGAAAATATTTTTATAATATTTCTTTTAACTTTATGACTTCTGAGCTATAAATTGAACTCTGACATTTCCCAAAGAAGGAATTTCATAAAACTCCACTTTGAAATGTGAAATTTTCAGTTAGGTGATGTACAGATACTCCTTACAGCATTTTTAGTTTTTTTTTTTAAAAACCCAACTCGAAAGTACTGCTTTTATTGGATGATGTAAAAAACCTAAAAAGTAAACATCATCACAATGTAAAAGCCAAATTGTGCTAGCACTTTGTGAAATAAATATCTTACTTTCCATTAGCATAGATAAGTAATGTTTTCATGGAAATTTTAATTAGTGACTGGTAGAGATTTGAAAAACAACCTAGGACACACCCATATACAATATTAATGTATCCTAAAGAATAAGAAAGGATAAGAAAGAGCATAGTAGCTCTCCTGTCACTGTTCAATATGATCACAGCTTTTTCAATAAAATACTGGCAGTAATTTATAATTTTTGTCTTAGGGAATTTTTTTTGAGTGGCCTCCAGACTATAAAATGAGTTAATACAAGTATTATTTTAATAAGTATTATTTGGGGTTGCAAAATATATCTGTACCCAGTCAATAAGCTAGATAAATTGTGGCTCCTCCTCCCCACTCATCATATTTAGCACACACACAAAGAGCCTCTCATTTGGGATAGGGAAATACTTTTTGAAAAAAAGTATTATCAGTTTAGCCAACTGGTTCTCAACATGTGATACTTAAATTCCCAGCATCATCTGGGAACTAGTGGAATTCTGTCTGAGATCTTCTTCTAAATGAAAAGCATGAGGATGGGTCCTTCCAGATGATTCTGATGCAGGCCAGGGTCTAAGCAGGCAGTAGAACTTAACTCACTCATACTGTGTAAGTTAGAATTCATCTGCACTCTAAATCTAATATGCAAAGTTCCATGTTACCAGGCAATTTTGTTAAGCAAGTGCTGGTCACTCTCCATTAGTGTACCAACCTCAGTGGCAGTCGTTTCCCCGTCAGCTGCGGTGTCTGTTCGCTCGCTGTCGGTCTAGAGATCACAGAAGTGATCAGGTTCCGGAAGGAAGGCAGGAATAGAAAACAAATCCATCTGGTCAAATAGGGTATGGCACAGGCCAAACATTTCATTTTCTCTCTGATCTGTATCATACTATCTTCCCACAAAAATGCAGGTTCAAGCAAAAGCAAAAGAAAGGCCAGAGCTAGGTTTCATCAGCAGAGCCACTAAGAGGAAGACCAGAGGCACACAGCCTGCAGGAGTCGCAGGATCTGCATTTGCTGAGCTGACCTGTCTGGTTTCATGTCACGGGAAGACCAATTTGTTCTTCTTTCCCCCCTTTTTAACTAAAACCCAGAGAAAGATCTTCTAAAAATGTCTAATGCAAATAAAATTGATGTTTATATCTGTTTTTTATCCTAATAATATGTCACATTTGAGTGGTAAATTAAATGTAAATTTAAATAAAAAGCTACTTTAACAGTCACTGGACTTTCAGCCCCTCATTTATACCATTTTGATAATTTACATCCATTTAGGACCATCGGGCTGTCTGCATTACCTATTAATTATACAAAGCACATGCCAGTGATTCACAGGCACATGTTTTATATGTGAAAAAAATGTAACCCAAATTTCAAGTAGAATTGCTAACTAGATAATTTTAAAGACTATAAGTTGTGTTAATTTTGCCCCACCATCCAATATAAAGAAGTATATGAAAGTATGTATTGAAATATCTCATTCCAAAAACAAACAAACAAACAAACAAAAAAACATTCCAGTGAAGCAAATAATAATAATTTAAAAAAAAATAGAGAGAGAGAAAGAGAGACATCTACTTGGAAAAACATAAAACAAAGCACAGCATTTGACAGAGCCTAGGTTTGGGGGAAGGGGAGAGAATTACAATAATCATTTCGGGACTGGTTTTTAATCTGTTCCATAGGAGATGATGATTTAAAACAAAATTATTTTCTCTGGAGAGTAAAGCTGTAGTTATTGAGACATGTGACTTTCCACAAATATCAACTAATGTTACTAAAATTCCCTTGAGCAAAGATGTGATTAATATTTTGAAAACAAAAATCAAAACCAGATGCTTTCAGGTTGTGTATCTGCCTCTTTAAACAATCCCTCATTCCAAAGAACAAGGGCTGTCAAGAAGAGGCGAGTAGGGCAGTGTTATGTGGCATGTCTCTGGCTAGGCTGACTTCCTGGAGCTATCCCAGACTTTGATTTTATATATTTTGAAAAGAAAGGGAGTTGGAATTCAGGCTTGGCACATGTACCTGAGGTCACTACTCTGGCAATCTTGCTACTATGCCTAAGTGGAAGATAATTTGCAGTAGGTTGGTAAAGCCAGAGTGCTAATATATTTTCATAACCTGATCACTTGGCAACACTCTAGGGTGTGTAGCTATTAAATTTCTTTTAAGGGTGATCATGGCGTTGGTAATAGCATGGCCTCACCAACTGATATTCTAGGGAAAAGGCAGTTTGAATTAGGAAAAGAGAAAGGCTGTTGTTCAAATGTACAGAATAACTCAAGGAATTCTTTGGCTTGCAAGAACACATAAAAATGGCTTGTATTCATTATAGCATGAACTCAGTTTTTTAACAATTAACTGTGTCAAAGACTTGAAGATTCTTGAAAGTATCTGTCTTTTATAGAAAATTTCCCTTACAGCTTTAGCAAACATCCTGGCATTAGATTATAGTCATGGTTAAGAGGGAGTGGTCGGTCTGGTGTCCAACGTGGGCAATCCTTGCTACTCAAACCTGTGACACAGGGCAAGTTTTATACTTTAATCTCAATTTCCTTCTTGTAAAATGGGAAAACAGCCCTAACCAGATCAGGAAATAGAAACTAAGTGTTTTACACAATGCTTGACAGAAACAGAGCTAAAAAAATGCCTATAATAATTGTAATATATTTATATCAATACAATATCATATATTAAATACTATTATTTTTCCTTACAATGCACAAATGAATAGCTTAGGCCATCTATAAACGTCCACGAATTCTTACTTAGCACCTACTCAGTCAGTCATTCAACTATTTATCTGTTGAGTAAATAGTTAATAAATGAATAAAGGCTGGATAAAACAGCTTTTATACCAGGTATTTATGCAAAATTCTAAGACTGAACAACACTGAAATATGTACAGCACATCATGAATTACTATACATTATGTAAAAATTTAAAATATTAAAATTAGGTAATCAATTATTTTTCCAAATTTCTATCCATTTCCTTTTTTTGGTATTATCAAAAAATATAATTATATTCTATGGTATGGTGAATTAAGTTCATCTTATGTTTCTTGATAGGTGATTTAATATTCTGCCCCTTCTTAACTGTCCATTTGAAAGTACAAAGTCAAAAAATAATTGGCCATTAGCTTTGTAGTTTGAAAGGATTAAATCTTTCTATATTGGGTTTTACTTTTGAGAAAGGTTGAAACTAAATTAAGTCACTACAACACATGAAAAATATAAGCAGTGGTGATAAAGTATTTTAAAAGAATCACAGTCATTAGTGATTTTGGAAACAAGTGGCAGAGCTGAACTGCATGTTATGAATCACTCAGTTTAATTGCCAAGTGCTTAAGACCTAAAGAATTAAAACAGGCCATGTAACCAAATAACATTTAAAAAAAAGGAATGACCTACATATGAATTATCTAGCTCAGTCTGAACTAGACTGCACAGCTCTTAACACTTGGCATTAAGAGACAACAATGAACAGATGAGCAAGTATAAAGTCTTGTGGCAGGAGAGCCATCAGGCTGACCAAGGCTGCACAGGAAGCTAAGACAGAGGGGCCAATGCTAGTTCTTGGTCTCGGAGGTTTACAATAACAAGGAGTTACTACTGGGAGCTCAGTCTCACATTCACTAGCTTGCAACGAATAACTGCTGTGATTTGTTTTGCCAATGTAATGCAGACATGCCCAAGTTTGACATTAATTCTCATGCACTAAATTACAACAAGATGTATACCCTGGATTAGGCACAAGATCTGTGTGGTTTGCTAAAGTTCAGTTACTTAGAATTCACAAAGTATAAAATGGCAATTATTTTGCTGTATGTTAGCTTGATGACTAACTCCACTGTAAAAGGAAAAATATATGTCCAGTTTGGAAACCAGCTAATATGATAGTCTTGGTGTTCTTAACTTGTCATGCTCTTGTCCTACATTATTTGATATTATTGCCACTTTAATAAATAGTGATATAAAAGCCTAGGATTTACAAAGCAGTTAGAAAATATCTTCCATATATGAAAATCATTTATATAGAGTGTTGGAGCTAAGACATATATTACCCAAGATCCTTGAAAAAGGTTCTTCTGCAAAGTGTGCACTTTTATTTAAAACATCTATGAAACCATTCTCTTTTTTTTTTTTTCTGCTGTTGCGAAGAAATGGTCATAATACCACTAAATATAGATACACCCTCACAGTTTTATACACTCACAGGTGCAGCCAGAATTATGACTTCTGGCTGAGCACAGAACTGAATAGACTTTCTGTCCTTTTTACAGTTGCTTTGACTCTGATTTTTTTTTTTTTTAATGTTAGGAGTACTGGGCTTGTCTCCTGCCACAAAACCATTGTTTTGCAGAAACAGAAGAGCTGGAGGGGACTGGAGGAGGTGTGGGCAGGTTGGTAGGTGACAGGCAGGCACCTCTGTTGGTAGCTTCTGTTCTTTTTTGCCAAGTTCTGTTAGAAGCCCATAGAAATAGAAACTACCAGGCTTTTCATATAGCTCTGGAGTGGTGGGTAAAGAGAGCAATTAAGAGGAAAATCTACTGGCTACAACATCAGCTCACCCAACGGCTTGGAAGAGGGACAGGGGCTGACAGGACACATGCCTTCATGGGCGGAGGCTGAAGGCTCATCCAACTTCCCTGACCTTCCCAGACTGTCCAAATGCATGTGGACATTTTAGCTTATGCTGGAGCTGAAACAATTGCTGCCATCCTATGTCCATGTTGGCACTGCGCCCACTGATGAAATTTCAGCCCATTTTTACAACATATAGAAGCCTAAAATGAGTCTTTTCCTGCTTATGTTTTGAACATTGCAGCTGTTTCTGGTGCTGTTTATGGCACTGCCAATGACTAAGTCAAGCAGGCAGTGTGAGCTGCTCAAATACTATTTGTGACCCAACAGCCACAGGGTGTGCTTCATCTTCCTGAGCAACTACGATGGTGTGATAATGACAATCAAAGAGAGCAGTGAGGCATTTCTGAATCTCCAGGGAGGGGAAGCAGCTACAATTTTGGAAACTACCCTGATGATGAGGACATGTGCCCTGTGGTGATGCTGTCTCCCATCATACCTTGAATTTCATTTATCTAGAAGCTTGTCATCACTATGTGTCATTATGTTGGGATACATTTTGGAAACATTTCATAAATCTAGACAAAAGTTGTTTATTGGTCTTAGATGTAATTTGCATCATTAAATGATAACTCAAAGTTTAACTTAACCCTGAATTTTTACACAGCTAATGGGATATTTACAGTTGACTTCTGGTTGAGTCCTTCACCACCCGCGTAAGTCAGTGGGTAGCAGATGCTTCTGGGCTGGGCTCAGACTGCTACATCCACATGGTGTTGTGCCTAACCCTGGGGCTGGGTTGTACTCCCCAACACACAACAACCCCTGCACATGTTGGCACAGACAATAAATGAGGCTCTGAAAGTCAGGCCACTATGGCCGCAGCCATCTAACACTGTTTCGGACCGAAGCCCCAAACACAACGGGAAGTGTGCTCTATGCCGAGGTACACACCTCTTCCTCTGAACTGTCACTCGGGTCATTGTCTAGTGAGGCACTCAAGGAGGCCGCCTTGGGCTCCAGGTAGCAGAGGCACATAGCCAGAGGGAAGGAGAGAGTGAGGGCATATGGCACTGAGAAGGAGGCGGAGAGCAGAAAGAAAAAGATGAAGAGGAAGCAGGGTACGAGGGAGGGTGAGCGGATCGGGAGGTAATGCTGCAGGCTCTGGGGGAGGAGGTTGGTCTCAGACAGATTGGGAAAAGAGAGGTACCCGTCATCATCTAGAAGAGAAGGGAATGACTCAGGGAGCTGCAAGGAGAAGGAAAACAGGGTAGTGCCTTTGCCAGTTTTCTGTTTGTAGCTAAAAGCCACATCTTGGTCCCCTAAGTATGGTTTCCCTTTGCCCTCAGAGTCCAGGGCAGGCTCTCCGTGCATGAGCCCGGGGTCTTTGGTTGGCTCACACCCCAGTGGTTGGTGGTTATTCTCCTTACACCTCCTACGGAGCTCTGTGGGAGATGCAGGGACACAATGAGCTGATGAGGGGAGCAGGGGACATGAGTCAGTGCCAAGCCCAGGTGACTGATGTGAAAGAGACAGAGAGAGACAGAAAGCAGCAAACAGAGATGCAAAAGGACAAAAAGAAAACTGCAATTAGTTAATCTTCTTAAGGGCATCAATATAAAATTGTAAAACAAGAATTTTAGCACTATGGTTGCTCATGAATATCAAAGTATTCAAGCTGCATGCCCACACTGCCTTGAATGGCCATCGTTCTCCCATTAGACAGTCACTACAGGGTGGGCTTTAAAAAAAATCAGAACGGAAGATAACTGTGTGCAGGTTCAAGTCTACATGTTTCACATGAGCAAAATTTTTTGTTTAGATTTAATAACTTTAGAAAGTTTTAGGGGTTCAAAAGCAAACATAACTCTCTGATCACTTAAAATCAAGACTTTCAATAACCTCTCCTTGTCTCCAACTGACATATCTGTTACTGTCCAGTCATGTATCACTTACTGACGTTTCGGTCAAGGACCTGTCATGCAGACCACAGAGGTCCCGATAAGTGATAGCACGTAGCCTTGCTGTGTTTTAGGCTGTACCATGTAGGTTTGTGTGATTGTACACTGTAACCTTCACATAAGGATGGAATCACCTGAGGACACATTTCTCAGAAAGTATTCCTGTTGTTGAGTGACACATGACTGGTTCAGTTGGTTTAAAAATGAAAATGAATCCAAATTTGGATTATTTTTAAAAACAAATCTCAAGCATTACCTTTCCTTGGTTAGTCAATATGCCCAAATCAAGGCAGATTTCCAAATAAAGTTGTTTCTGGCCCCACTCCTATCTGATAGACACTTATGATTAGAGAATTCATTCAGGGACACTGACTCTCCACAAAGGGTTGACATTCCTTTGTAAAATTCTTCTATTTTGGCTCCTTTATCCATGATATAAGTGGAACTTAAGTAATTTCAATAAGCTAATGAGCTAAAAGAATGTTTTTCTTCATGATATGGTTTATGAGCATTTAATTTTTATTATTTGTGGAGCATAAACAAGAAAGTTACAATTGCTCAGCCTTCTGATTTTTCTTGTCTGATAAACAGTATGTTGACCTAGTTTGTGCCCCTACTAGAATGACAGACAGAGGTAGACAGCCCCAAGATTGTAATCCTGGTGAGCTCAGTCTTCTATGAAAAAAGTAAGGCCCTGGTAGGCTCCATGACCAGAGATGATTTCCTCAGCAGCTGGCAGAGGGTGCTGAGCAAGCAGGGGAAGAAGGTAAGCAACCAAACAATCCCCAAGTAGGGTCTGGGCACAGCATAGAGGCCGCTATAACCTGGGGAGTTCTAGACGAGGTCACACAGAGGCTGCAGATAATTAAACTTCTGCTGCTGTATATGTGTGTGTGTGTGTGTGTGTGTGTGTGTCTGTATGTGTGTGTTTTGCCAAGTAGCCTGGTAGCATGGAAATTACCTGACCTTTTTTGTCATGGTTAACCATCCCCAATTCAGTAAATTTATGGACAGTGGTAGGTAAGTACACTCATAAAATTATTCCATGGATCTGTTAGAATATAGAAGTAGCTTTTTTAGTATTATACAAGTTTGTCTTTACCTAATACTCACATTGGTCATTCCACGCATTGTGTTTTAAGCAAGACCCTGAATGAATCTCATTCAACTAAGAATAATGTAAGTTACAAGGCAAATGTGCAGCAAATGACTTCATCCAAAAAATGATGGGTTGGGCCATTTGAAATGATCTAGTGTAACTACAGTAACAATATGTTTGTTGATCTACCCATTCAGTTGTCATTGTTACAATCTTGTTAAAAAGTGCATTTTTCTCGGGAGTCCTAGGTGTGTCTCTACCACATAAATTGAAAAGCGCATGCACAAAAGAGCACTTTTGAACTACACCTATGCACCCTCTAGCATAACCTGTGTGTCAGGCAGCATTTTTAATCCTCCTATTTCCTTCCACTCTACATTCTGTATGGGGGCCACTCTGCTTTTCCATTATTACTATGTTAAAACTTCCCAACATGTTGTCTGATTTTTAGGGAGCTGCTCAGCTATGTGCCCAGACCCAAAACTAAAAGCAGGTTGCCTACATGTTGTTTGACTTTTGCTTTTCTAAAATTTTGCTTCCTAGTGTTGGATCACCAGAAGTATATATAATGTTCAAGATTATTGTTTAAAAGGAACTTGGAAATCTTGGTGAAATGAAGTTACAAAATTTAATGAATGAAAGTACTTTGGGGAAACTACTGCCAAATTTACTGTTTGTCTTTGCTTGTAAACTTGCCCCTTTTCAAAACACTTCCCCTGGCTACTTTGATGACACAATTATAAGATAAAGAGAGGAGAGAGGATAAAAACATAGAGGTGATGTCTATGGCCATTGAATTACTTGCAGTGCAAAGAATGTCAATAAAACATCCAGTACTTGGGTAGGAGAATGGGGCCAGAAACAAACAAACAAAAAAAGCTTCAGAGAGAGTCCTGAAATGGAAGCCCAAACAGAAAAGTGTAGTATGCCACCTACTAACAGTCTTTTTAAGATATATAGACAGGACAGCTGTTGAAAGTCTTACATAGCACACCCATTGTTAAAATAAAAATTTTCCAAGCGTTAAGAAGGAATCTTTGAAGGAGAAAAGTCTGATATAATTTAAAATTTGATACTATGAATGTAACTAATGCTGAAATTTGAATTAGCCTATGTCTTAACACACTCCTAGTTTATAACCTCAGCATTATTCAGTAATTCTATAAAGGGTTCAGCAAGCTCTTAGAGGCAGCCTGGGAGATCTACCTTTCCCTCGGTCCGGATGGCTGCAACAGGCGTTGCTTCTTCCGCCTTTTTCCTTCTATCCTCTTCCTCGTCTCCCTCCTCCTCGGCCTTTTTCTCCGGAGTCACAGTGGTGATCAAGTTAGTCTGAGAGATGCCCTTTGTTGTGGCGTACTGGCCAGTACCAACCTCTGCAGCAGACACAGAATCCTTCATGTATATTTCATGGTTTTCATTCACTGATGCTAAAAGCAAATACAATTCAAGAAACAAAGTTGGAAATAGTTAAGTTAGAAGACAGATGAACACCAACAATTGCCCCACTACTGGGGAAAAAAACCACCCCTGCAAAATACCAAGTTTGTTTTGAAAGACAAGTCAGCACTGTAGGTACTTTCATCCAAGTACTAATATAGACTCATCTTTCTGTGTCATCTATGCCCATGTTTTAAAGTGACATAAATGCTCATCTCTTGAAGCAACCAGAAGAGTTTCATATGCTCTGAGTTCTCTGGTGAGGATGTGTGGGGGTAGAATGCAGCAGACAGCTGCTGTAGAGCACTTGACTTTGAGCATATCTTTGGAAATGCCACTCACCAAGGGGCACTGAAATATTTATTACTGCTGTTTTTATCATTACTGTTGGTTGAAAAAAATCTATCATTCCTACAATATAAAAGCCCCATGGATAATAAAAAAATTAATTTTCTTGGCACAAATTATAAAATTCAGATGACAACTCTGTTCAATGGAAGTGCAGAAATGATTTAATTTCTACTGCACTTTAAGCAGACTACCATGATTGCATACATTCATTCATCTCTAATATTATGGGAAAACAAGACAAACGTTACTAATGAAATTCATGCAATTGCAAAACATGCAGACATAAGAATATAAACTATAGCCTTCCATCCCAGCTAAAACATCTTAGTGAAAGAGATGCTTTATTCAGTTAAATTTTTAAAATTTGGTAATTATCATTTTATGTTTTAGATATAAAATTTATTGAATCTTATAAGTACTGCTTTTCTAGTATACAGTAGCTACAGTCAAAATAAAATAATTTCATATTTCAGGTACCTGAAAATCTAAATATATGAAGGGATTCTGAAATCCTTTTAATGGGTAAACTATCACTAAAATATTTTCACTAAGATATTTATATCTCCACCTGTTGATGAAAGAGCTCATATGAGACCGAGTTTCCAAATGTATCAATGAAGGCTGTTTTATAGAAAATGCATCCTTGCACAAAGCATTTTGTTGCAACATGCAGCCATGGAACCCAGCTCAGCAACACAGAAAACATACTAGAACTGGCAGGATCCCAAAGAGTGAGAGACAAGACATTCTAACATCACTTTTGGGCAGGGAGGAAGAGACAGCATGATATTAGTACATTTGTTTCACAATTGTTTTCTGTCTTCTCAGCAATCATTATTACTCAAAAGTCATAAGGAAAACAACATTCACAATCAATGTGTTCCCTCAGGGACACATAACTGGACAAAGTGGATGACATTCGGGGAAGAAAAGGTATGATTCTACAGAAGTTCCTCCAGCACTGACTTATAGAACACACAGAGTTTACAGAGATTCTTGAACGGTAAGGAAGAAGAAAGGACACAATGCAGAAAGAAAAGTTTTGACATTAACATGGATATGTCAGTATCTTAATTCAAAACAGTCCAAAATAGCCATTTTACTCCGAAAATTTGTCTTTAAGTTAAAAATTGCAAGCTCTGAGAAGATACGGTAGGGTGATTTAACTTTCTTGGCAGCTCACAGCTTATAGGAATAATGATCAATATAATTATTATTGCACCTATAACTAGGCTTTCTGATGTATCTTTTTCACTCTTTATAATACCCCTGTCAGAGATGGCCTTACTCTCATTTTACATACTGGTGATGACCCAAAACCAGCACGAGGAGAGTTTAAATTATTCATCAACCACTACACAGACATGGACCTGGACTTTCACCTGGATTTACATACGCAAGTTAAGAGTTCTTCCCACTTCACTAGTAACATATGTAAGACAGTACTAGCAATAGAGTGCAAGCTGATTCTATGAACTGTTTATACATGTTTCTGTAAGGAAAATACAGTCCTTTTGATCAGGGGCTTCAAAGAACATGTTGCCCTCCCAACTGCACTGGGGCACAGCACTCGAGAAAGGGAAAAGTGGGCTATTTTGGCTACTGGTGGCAAAGACTGGAAGGAAGAAAGTGATGTCAGAGACCTATAACTTTTATTTACTTATTTTATTTTATTTTATTTATGTGTTAGTATATTATTAAAATAGTTGACATATGTGAAGAGCTTCTCTTTTATATGCACAGGGTGCGTTGTTAATAAAACAAATCTCTGGACACTTGAAATCAGAAGACAGAGGCTGGGCCTTGACTCAGCTCCTGAGTTAAGTATTGCTAAAGCTGACAGACGTTGTAGTAGAAAGCACATCTGCAGTCATTAGGGACAGAACACAAAACCATTACTCCAAAAAAACAAACACTCCCCCTCCCCCCAAAAAAAACCTGCTAAAAATTCACTATTATACAATTCCTTAAAAAATGTTATTTAAGTGGTCAGGTGGTTCTCTCATTTCTTACAAACTGGACTTAATAGTAGAGAACACAGCAACACTCCCCCGTATGGTATAGTAATTAATATTAACCAGGAGAACTTAACTTGGAGTTCCCTTGCTCTGGCACTTGGATGTGATCCTTTTTATCAGTTATTCACTGACTCACATAATTCACAAATTTTTTTTGAAACAGATTAATCTAAATTACTGTTTTCTTTCTGAAACAACTGTGCTACTCATTTAAGATCTGCTGGCAAGAAAACCAAATTACATACTCAGTATGTGACCAGTATATCTAGAATGAGAGCATCTTTCTCCATACCCAGAGTGTGGGTTTGTGAAAGCTACCCTCTTAGTTCCTTTAGTATCACTTTAATGCAATTTTTTTTTAGATTTTTTTTATTTTAACATTTATCACTTTTTACATTTTTAGACAATATTTGCCTCCCCCGACCCCCTCAGATTCACTTTAATGAAATTTTATATAAATCTATTGATAATAGAAATTAGATTCAAAGAGGTGAGGTGTTAAAAACTTGCCATTCATCCACAGACCAAGAAGTGCTTTTCATTTTATAACTATCTGAGACGATCAACTTTTATCAAACGTTTGTGGCAGTTTCATCCTGCTTCTGGATAGCCACTGATGGTGATTAAGGGTAGCTGATGCCTACCTCCATCCAGGCTGCGGGACATAGTATAACGTTTACTGGATGAGCGTTCAAAGTAAGGGGCCGGACGATCTATCAACGCACTGGCTCTTCTTGTTTGGGCTTGTGTTCTGCCACTATAACGAAACTTGGATCCCAAGGTAAGGAATTTCTTTGGAGGTGCTTCTGGTAATAAGAGTCTAAAGATATCAAAGAAAAAACACCAGAAAGATTATTAAGTCAAATATTAAAAATGCTATTGGAACATTTATCCCTTCCTGAATGATAAAGTACTTCTTATGCCAAAGGTGTAACTCCCAATACCCAGTAAAATGAATCAGATTTTACAAGAAAAAATCAATTTCACACAGTACATATCAAGAAGGGGTATTGTAGAGAGGATATGAGCAAATAGGTTTTGAGCTGAAGTAGATGAACTTTATTTACAACTACAGAGTGTTTGGTTCTATCAACTCAAAGGGTGGGGCCTCCCTCCCTGGTGGTACAAGGGGTTGTGTCGGCACTATGAAGCTATCTGCAGCCACTGCAGCACCAGTTCAATCCCCAGCCAGGGAAGTGACCCACATGGCACAGCAGACCTCTCCTGTCTCACCCGCTGTTCCCCTCAGCAGTGTATTTCGGTCAGTCCACCTGTTCTGTTCCCTACTGTCTCTGGTGAATCCTCTCACCCCCCACATCTCTGGCCTGCACCCAGCTCTTGTATGCATAAATAAATCTTTTAAAAAAAACTCAAAAGGTGATTAAATAGATGGTATTCATAAAGGACAGTGATAATATGTTATTTTAAAGACACACATCTGGATGGTCTTAATATTATGTGTGCGCAAAGGAGTACAAAGGTGTTGAGAAATTGATGAAATAGCAAATAATGGATTGGACACATGAAGTGGACATTTTATAAAAATAATAAAAAGACATTAAAGATAATAAGGAAAGGAGGGGTAGGTCAGATAAGTATAAAAGAAATTAAAGAAAATCTTCAATTAGTCAGAAGTTCTTTTAGGACTTCTTAGTAAGAAATCTGGTAACAATGAACTTGAAGGAAAAGGAAGAAAATGCTTCCACATTCCTCTTCCCAACTCTTTCAAGTGTTATTCCCATCATTCTAATTCTAGGGGAAAAAACCCCAAATGATCTCTGCCTACCTGAAAAATGTATGGTGTTCCACACATACTTTCCATAAACGCTTGGCAGCTCGATGGTTTGGCAACTTAAACCCAATGGTGCTTTCGAATTGTTCAAACTGAATTTTAAAAAAGTATTGAAGAACAGAGTCAAGTTTGGAACAAAACAAAAAGCAAATAATTTATAAAATCATAATACCACTTACATAGTTTTCCCTTCTCACTAAATCAATTGCTGTATGCAGAATTTGTCTGATACATACTCATTTTAAAATATCTTCTATCTCCTTAAAACAGTATTGGTATGGAAAACCACACCATGCATGTAGCTAACGTTTATGTACAAATATGGATCATAAAAATGAAATGCAAGAAAAGAAGGCACCTGGATTCCTTTCAGAATCCTATTTTAGTGATATAATTTTTAAACCTTATTTTCATGAAATCATGACATCATGGCTTCAACTGGAAGGTACAGAAATGAACAAAATATTTACAGCATTGTCAGAATGACATTTTCTCCCAAAGATTTGTTCTGGAGTGAATGTATATGTCCTATTTGATAACTTAATATGAGATATTGCTGATTTTATTTGGCATGCTAACATAGTCCATCCTGTTAAATGCTAACACCTCTCCATATTATATGTAAGTTGAAGATTAGAACACATTTTCATATTTTTTCAGCATGTATATTTCAGATGACACTATTAACATTTGATTTTTTCCAAGGTGAAATATCTGATTTCCTGAGTAATATATTTTAATAATATTATTGACATGCTCAAAATTTTTTCATTTTCTAAAGATGGACACATGAGGCCACCAGAGGGCAATCATCCCAAACAGTAAAGGCTTTTCAAAAGCACACAGGAGGCGAATGGTAACCAATACCAGAAATAATTTTGTGTGGCAAGAACCAAGAGGCTGGGGCCTGGGTGCATGGGTGGTACAATTACACTGGACTCTACTTCTTGTTTGTTAAGTGAGATGCACAGGGGAAGAGGGGGAAATACTGCAACTGCCTTTCTCAATATATTATTCGCCATGTTCAGGTGCAGTAGTGACACAGTCATAAAAATTACTATCGCCCAGTGGACCCAGTGAAGCAACAAGCCAGAGTACAATGGATCGCTACTGAATTACCCTCCTTTGATTCATTCTGCACCCGATATGTGCCATACACTAACTTAAAATGCGGGGTTTAATAAGATCCACTTGTTCTCTGTTGCAAGAAGCTGGAAGGATTCTCTTACTGCTATCCTCCTAGTGCAAGGACTGTACTTTTTGAACTTTTATGTATCTTTCTGTGCTTCTTTCAAACTCTTCAGAACATTTGCACCACCAATAATTTCTTCTCAGTCATTCTTCTCAATTTATAAATATCCTCTTAGAAAAGGAGTCTTTCTCTGAGCCTCTTTCTGCTTGAACCAGAATCCCCACTTCATTCCTCACCGCTAAGCATCATGCAGGAGAAGCCCTGACGACGTCCTTCCTTTCCTCACTTAAACCCGGCATGTGTGTGTGACTCTCAAATCCTGTGAGTTTTCTGAAATTTCCCATGGTTTTCTCTGTAACATTTGGCACAGCAGCCTAATTGCATCTCTTTAATTCCTGTTTTTGATCCTTCTTTCTCTGGAAGTTTTTCTTAATTGCCCTATGTTTCACTTCTGTTTCCATCTCCCTCAAATAATGGTGTTATCCCAGATTTTTATTTTAGGGTCTCTATCATTTCTTGTTCTTTGGTTAATCTACTCCTTGCCTAAGAATTTGAATAAAATGTATACAGTTGAAAACTCTGTTCATGTCCTATATTCCTTACTGCGAAAAATCAACCCCTTACTATGAAAAATCTGTCCCAAAGGAATTTCAATCTTTTTTCCTGAAATTCTCCCTTTACCCTCTGGTCTAATGCTATCACCTCCATCAACTTCATTCATGAAACCTGAAAGAAAACTTCTGATCACCCCAACTCTCTCTTTTGAGCCTTACCTGTCCCCAAGACTTACTGGTTCTGCTTCAGAAAACTCACTCTCAAATTTGCTCTGTCTATTCTATTCCCAAAGCTTCTGTCCTAGTTAGATCTTAATCACGTCGCATTACTAAGTAGCAGAATTTGATCAAGAGATCTACCACTGCAAAATACTCATTTAGTTTTGTCATGTCCTAAATTAAAAGCCCTCATGGCCCTTTGCTGTTTCCTGATGTATCTGTCTAACTTTTGCTTCTTCCTCTCACTACACTATGCTTATTCTATGTTTATGGAATATTATCACATCTGTACTATGATGCTATAGTTCTAAGTGGGTGACCCTGGTTCTTTGCTAAACAGAAAGTACCTTGAGGATAGGAACAAAGTCATATCTATTTTTTTATTTCCAATGCCCAAAAGGGTACCTGACAATAAATAGATGCTCATTCAATAAAAGTTTAATGAATCTATATGGCTATAAGTTTAACATGTAATCTGTAGGAAATAAACTACTATATTAAACTTCTGATAAAAAATGCTTTAATTTACAGACTATTTCAGCCTTCACAGACAAGTATGGTTTTGCATTTACAAGAAGCATGATTGCTTGCTCTACAGTATGATTTTTTAATTGCATTTTCCACATAGAGAGGTTGATTTTGAAGTTAGCAGATAATGCTCTATTGTACCAGAAAATGTGCAGAGACATAAATGAGCTTGACTGCCTCCTTTACATTAAGCATGCTAATTAGAAATTGGAGGTATTTATTAATGATCTATTAAACAGATAATAGATATTTACTACTTGCTAATGTACAAATCATGAAAGAGGATATAAATATAGCTAATCATAGAGGCTATTGCCCAAGGAGTTAGCTAACAATTTCAACTCTTTCATTAAGCCGCTCTGATTAAAAAAAAAAAGGCAGAAATATATCAGACTGCGGAACATTCACATTATTCACATGAACTTGCTGCAATCTTTCTGGTACCTCCATGCACATTATCTCTAAGCTATTCACTTTAAAGTGTCATCAGATTAGGAGGGGAGAGAGAGGGCCTGGAGACATCATAACAGGATGAAAGGAAGATCTATTTTTTAATTACAAAGAGGTTTAATGACTAACAGTTTCTTTTGTACCACAGCTTGCAATATATAAATATTATTCATGAATTTTGATTTTAAATTAAAATACATAAAAATATCTTCTGATTAATAATATACAGTGGGAAGAAATGGGGACAAAATAATAATAAAAGGAACATTTATTACTGGTTATTGGACAAACCTACAATAAATTCTCTTAGGCATTTAGCCTAAGTCACTGCATCCCACAGTGCTCAGAACTTGTGAGCAGGTAATTTAAATTTTTGTTTGTTGTCAGGTACCTCTCATCCCAATCTACATGCAAATTCAAGTCCACTTACCTCTCCTGGCCGGATCTTAATGTAAAAGTTGTTCCGCTTGTATGAAATTTTCAGAACCTTAGGCCAGGCAAATCTGTTTATTCGCAGCCGATCACGATATATCAACAGACCACTTGCACAAACTCCTAACATAATTTCTACTCCTTCAGAATCCTGGAAAATAGCAGGAAGACAGAACTAATCAGCATCTCACTTATTTCCACTTACAGCTGGGTAGGATGCTTACACTTTCATGACAGACCCCGTAATATACTACTTGTATCTCTAATTTAAAAATGAAAAGTGCCACAGCTATTTCTTAAAACATCGCCACTGAGTAACAGTCTTTTAATGACTTAATTTATCACTAAGGACAGTTTTTGAGTAAAATCTGCCCACCCAGGTAATTTATGACATAACATAAACACTGCACACAGGAGAGGCCAACCAGATGAGGCTGTGTTAATGATAGTAAAGGCCACAGCTCTCACTAGTGAGTGCCAGGCATCTTCACTCCAATATTTCCAGATAGCTGCTATTATTATTTCCATTTTACAGATGAGGAATCTGGGGTATGGAGAGGTTAGGTGTACAACCCTGTTGAATATGGTCAGCCTGGTTCTGGAGGTAGAACTCATTAGTCACACACAATAAGTTCTCATTTAACCTGGTTTGTTCTTGGAAACTACAAATTTTAGCAAAATGACATAATGAAAGCCGGTCCTGGAATAAGTCCCTTCATTGAATATTGGTCGGAACTGTTTTTTTCTCATCAACATTCTGATGAAATGTTTAATGAACCATCATTTAAGAATCTGCTAGATACTAACTGGGAGGCTATGTCCCTTCCCATAAGTGTTTTGGGGTTTGTTTCTTGAAAAAGAACCTTAAGTCTTTTTTTATATAGCAATGTTGTCAGAGTAAAATTTTTCAAGTATGAACATACTTTTCCAACAAGGTTCCCCTAACATCCCCCTTCCCAAACTTCCCAGTGGGTTATCACACTTAACAATATGTTTAACATAGAGAAATAAAGATATATTTTGTATGTGCACATAGTTTGGTCTTTTTCTACAAAAGTGGGATCATGCTATATTTACAACTGTGTTTGTTACTTTTCCTTTCATCTTTAAGTTATCTCACAGGTGCATGATCAGAGGTCCCAGAGGTCATCAGAGAGGTCATATGAAGCTCAGGGGACATGCCATGTACAGCTTGTGTTCCTTAAACATTGTATTCTGGCAGCATCAGGGTAAAAGGAACACGTGGGTGGCCTTGAGTGGGGTGAAGGAAAGGTCAGTCAGGATTCTGAGGTGTGGTCTCTATCCCTCTTGTTTCATAGGTTGTAGGATGGAGGGGGTGCACAGGAGATGCAGCTGAGCTCTGTGGTCACACTAACGGGCATGACCATCCGGGCTCGGAGTCAGTCACTCTGCCGCAGGGCAGAGGTGCATGGAGGATAGGAGACTGCCTCACCTATGTTGTGGAAGTTTAGTTCCTAAATCCTGTCAGGGCAAGATACAAGATGATCATTTCCAGCATCAAAAATAAATATTTTGGTCCATCTGTACGAAATTTAACTGTACAAATCCAATCTAACTGATTTAAAATGAAATATTTTTCCATGGTAATGTATCACTGGGTTAGATATGAAATTATGCCAGAGGAGTGGAAATACTTGATGGCAGGATATTACAACATAATAAAATTTGAGAACGCAAGGACCAGAAACTGCCCACCATTTATCAAGGGCTTTAATTTGAAAGAGCAATTTAAAGAGCTATAACCTAATGCTGACAAACAGCCGGCATTATTGATCCATTAGAAGCAGCCAATCTGCTCCTGTGACAGCTCGGGGGTGACACCTCACACCACTAGCAGGAAGGCAGACAAGAGGAGGCCTGTTTGAGTAGCTGCTCCTTGATCTACTTTTTGTTTAGGAAATAGGCCTTGCTTAAGAAGGGAAAGGCTATTTAATTTTTTTTTTTATTTTCTACTTTTGAATTACTCATCAGTGTCTTTAAAACACAAGAAAACAGAATTCCTTCATGGGGAAGATGGAGGTGTCCTTCGACACTGCCCCACCTTTCTCCTGCCCTCTCTAATGTACACAACTGTGTCCCCTTAATGTCTGCTTCTCTAGAACACCCCAAGCAGATGGCGCTGCAAGGAACCCACTCCTTGGCCCACTCCTCTGGACCCACAACCTGCGCTGGTTGGCAGCAGCTTTATCTTCCTGTCTGTGTGGGGTGCACAGCGCCACCCCAGTATGTGCTAAGTCATGACAATGTCCATGTAAAGAAAAGGCAAATGGAGAAAGACATTATCAGGATGAAGTAGGGTTTTAAGTTAGATATTTTATTAGTCACACAGCAATAAAAAAAATACTTTTGATATTAAGTGTTCTGCCAGTTTCTTTCCATAGTATTGAGGGTAGTTTGATAAATTTATTGTACTGAGAGCTATAATCGCAGTCTTGGTGGGGGTGGAGGGGCAGACATGTATTTCCCCACCAATAGCACAGCAAATGTTCTCTCTAGCAGGAAGTACTGAAGACCTGGATAGCCCCAGTCTGTCATAATTAAAATAAACCAGTATGCTATTTCCTTGCTTTAACATCATCATTCAACCTCTGCCATCCTTTGTTATCCATGCTCCACAGAATACCTGAGATGGATTCATATCTATAGTTTAGAATCTTCTATGAAATAAATGATTCTGAAACAGTCTATTAAGACTGATATCAAATAGGGACTCCGCTGGTGGCGCAGCGGTTGAGTGCTGGGCTGCAGGGCTGCCCGCAGCCTCTGCAGCTCTGGTTCGATCCCTGGCTGCCGACGAGGGTCCCACATGGTGCGCAGACCTCTCCTGCCACGCCCGCTGCTCCCCTCAGCAGTGTATTTCGTCAGTCTGTCTGTTCTGTTCTCCGCTCTGTCTTTGGTGGATTCTCTCACCCTCCCATGCTTCTGACTGTACCCAGTGCTTGTATAATTAAATAAATAAATCTCAAAAAAAAAAAAAAAGATATTAAATACTAAGCAGAGACAGCCTTCCTAAGAAAATAACAAAATTTAGAACAGGTTTTGTAAAAGACAGGACCTTCATCAAATATGGATATTTATTCTTTTATACAGAGCTGTGGAGTCCATGATTCAGAATATCTAAATAAGTCATAAAGCTCAGGGTCTTTCCTACCAACAGAAGAGAAGAGAAGTGAAGCACCTCACTTATAACTGGAAATTAGCTGTAATTTAATTTAGTAAATTTCCTTCTTGAAATGATGGAGTGTGGCTGCATGAGAAAATGAGTCTATAACTGAATCATTTGCTATATTTAATATTCAGATAAAATCCTATAGCAGGCTTCCATAATTCTCTTTCTTTTTTAATTGGCATTATTTCAAATCATATTACTGAATGAGACTGCAGCCATCTATTTTAATCTTGTAGCTATAGTAATGTTAGGTGATTTTTTTTTTTTATGGACAGAAACACTGATGCATTCTGAGTTGTATGTCCCCAAATGTGTGCTCTAATTATCTATCTACCTATCTATCCATCTATCCATCCATCCATCCATCCATCCATCTAGTCATCCATTTATCCATTTATCCATCATGGGAAGTAAGTGAATCACTGTGTATAATATAATTCAATTTTTCAGGCTACCTTCATTTCCTTCTTTTTTCCATGTCTTTTAGCCACCTAGAGAAAAACACTAAAAGAAAACAATCTATGTGTGCCTCTTTATTTCTTTTTAAGTCCTTATTCTGTCTTATACTTGGCATAAAATACCTTTGCCATCTGAGTACAAAATAAATGAAGAAATGTAATAATGAGCTGGCAAGTAAATAGAGCTACACCTGCCATTGTAATTACACAGAAATGTCACTAAGCTTGGCATTCAAGGTACCAGCACATTCAATGCCCCTTGCCAAGTCCTGGAGGTTTGCTAGCACTCAGACCTTCAGGTCTTGGAAGTATTCATCCTATAGGATGTACAAAATGATCCATGGGCATAAACAATGAACCTGCATTTGTTTGGTGGCCCCCATTTTCTTGTATAAACTCCCTGTGAATTAGTCTGTTCCTCAAATACCAAGCCAGAAGCTGTTCCCTTGCATTATCAACAGAACCAACAGATGATAAATTTCTTTCCCATTGGCCCTCAGGATTGTGGAAATGTTTTCCTGATCACAGTCAGCTGAAACTCTCTTCCTTTCTTGACCTCAAACTTGACTGTGTAAGATACTCACTTGCCCAGAAACCTGTTAACTGCATGTTCTTTTAAGTCCCAGACTAAATTTGGTGACTACTCTGTTCTTTAGAAATCAAACACCCATTTCTACAGAGAAATGATGCCAAATCAGAAGAAGCTGCCCCTGAACTTCACACATAATCTTTTCAACACTGATAAAGTATGAGAAATCATCCCTCAGATCCTCAAAAATTTCATGTTTTCATCAAAGTTTTAATAAAAGCTTGTCTGAATTTCCATAGCATTATTAGCACAGCTTTCCAAACAGCAGAATGACAGTCCATACACTCATTCTCTCCATGCTGACAAACAGAGTCTAGGACTATATGACATCGTACAACCTCAACCTTCCTAATTCCAATTTCTTTCTTCCAAAGACTCTAAAGCTTTGACTTTTTCATCAATCACAATCACCAAGGCTTAGTTTGGATGGGTTTAGTTGAACTGCAAAATAAGAATCTTATTTCAAAGTACTGATTACCTGTCAGAATACCTAACTTTAGTCAGAGCTATTTAAACTTAACATGAATTATTGAGTGCCTGGTGAAAACCCAGATCAGGGGCAAAAACTGTACTTGGCATGTGACAGATGTGACAACTGGATATTGGACAACTGGCCACTTTTAGACACGATGGAGCAGGACAGTCCAGACAAACATGGGCATGTTCCGAGCAAAGGTAGAAAAAGGTCTGGCAGTAGCAAAGGGCATGTGTCAGCACAAAGTGGGAGGCAGAACCATGACAAGGGTGAACAAAGAACTTGTTATATCAAGATAAATTTCTAACTGAACCAATAGGCAATCAGAGACTTTACCTACTGCAGGCTTTCAGTTGGCTGAGGCCATGAGTGATGTGAGTTTGAACCATTTAGAATAGAGATACCACATCTTCTTGATCCAGTCATCTAGTTTGGGCATTTGGGTTATTTCCAAAGCTTTCCTATTGTAAATAGTGCTGCAATAAACATAGGGGTGCAGGTTCCTTTTGAGTTATTGTTTTTGTGTCCTTTGGATTAAGAAGATGTGGTATATATACACAATGGAATATTACTCAGCAATCAAAAAAGATAAACTCATGCTATTTGCAGCAAAATGGATGGAGCTGGAAGGGATCATGCTCAGCAAAATAAGTCAGAAAGAGAAAGAAAAATACCAGATGGTTTCACTTATGGGAGGAATATAGAAGATCCAAATAAGGGATAAGGGGGAAAAAAGTAATTATAATAAAGTGAAAATCAAAATCAACAAGTTAACTATAAACCAGAGACATTCTGCAGGGTGGGAGAAGAGAGTAGGATCAAAACGGGTGGGAAGAGCACAAGGGACTGTGGTGATGGTTCACGGGTGAATGGATGGTGGGAATTTCACAGGAACTATAACCGAGATGAGAAAGCATGTATTATACAAAAATGAAGAACGATGTAAAAAGTACATAAAATAATAAAAAAATAAAGAAACCCCTCTCCCCACCAGTAAAATATCAGAGAGCTAAATTATCTTCATCATTGAGCAAGACTTAAAAGGCAAACACAAATTTGAATTCCCAAAGTTTTCATTTACATTATGAATGAAAAATCACCAGTTTATACTAACAGCAACATTGAACGAAATAAAGTAACACAGAAAGTTTGGGGTTTAAAAATGCATACCTTGGCATGATGTAAGTCTACCCCGTACATGGATAGCTTTTTGGCATTTTCCAAGAAATGCATCTCTGCTTCTGCTGGTGTCATTCCTCTGATAAGAAAAAAAGATGCATGACAATGTTTTCCTCTACCAGGCACTGTTGCAATATTTCCCACTTAGCTTCTTTGCTATCTAATAAGCAAGCCTCCAGAGGGGTCCTAACAGATATATGCTCTGAGAACGAAGGATAACAAGAAAAAACCTTTTTAAAGAAAAAAGTTACAAATGGAGATAGGGAAGGAGAATGTAGCAATCCCAGAACTGGACCACATACAAAACCTCACTCAGCTCCAGTCCCATCCTTAATGGACTGAAATCAGTCCTGGACAAAGTGGGCAGAAGTAAAGCTTGATCATCCATTCACAGGTAAACATCTGCTTCTGGGTTTCTGCCACTAACCTGTGGCTCTTGTGCAGCTCGATCACTTTGTCTTCCAGTTCCTTTGTGTGGTTTGGTGCAAATCGGAACTCGCTAATATAGTCATTCCCGCATTCATCTGGGTCATAGTCTCCAAGTTCTGACTGAACAGTGTAGGAGCCCAACAGGGCGAGCGTGACGAAGGAGCAGGGCAGCCTTCCCGACACGATGTCGTCTCGCAACTGTAAGCAGAGGTAGTACCTTCCAGGAGCCAAAGGATGAAGCAAAAAACTGGCATTAGGACATGTTAAAAGGAGACTCACTTTCTAGCATCTATATTTTCACTTAGATATAAAAATCTGTGGCTACAAAATACAGTATTTAAGAGCATCTAGGAGCAAGTCAATGCTGAAAAAACAGGGTTTTATTAGCAAAGTACATAAAGTAAAAGAAATTAAAGGCACAATCCTTTAACATCTTTTAAATAATGTTTAAAGTCAAGCGAACAGTTCTCGACACATACCCTGAAATCTTTGGTTGGGCAATTATAATATAAAAATGGTTTTCTTAAATATAATCATGAGGGACCATTTATGCTTAAGGAAGTCTCCTCTTGATATCTAGATTAAAGGTCCTGCATATGACTGAGACAAATTTCAGGCATTTCAACAACCACGCTGTCATAAACTATCCTCTCAATTTCCTGCATTTCTAATCTGATAGTCTCTTTTCAATAGAGAATAATTTTTCCTGTTTCAAATTCTCTTTTTTTTCCAATTTAGATACCTTCCTTAATTCCAACTAATAGGAAGACTCACTCTAAAAATTACTACCCTAAAATCTGAGAATCTCATCACCATAAGTAAACAGTTTCAAATTGGGGGAATATAATATATAAAATAAAATGTAAAGTATATATAAAATACAAGATGAAATGATTTTCCATATAATTTTGCCAAGGTATCATAAAATTATTGTATAATAATAGCTGATCTTTTCTGTTATATTACTTTTAAGATTTATAGATATGATAATAGCTCCAGAAGACTCCTAGGTAAAAGCTAACACTGATAAGTTTTAATAATACCTTTCATGGCATAGCACATGGGTCTAAAAATAAAATATGCTTGTAATTTCATATAAGAAATGAATTATTAATCTGTTGAAATTGAGGGCTATGATAAAGTTTTAAGATCCTCTCTAAAAATGATTTTAAACTGATGCTGTAAGTAAACTCCATGAGTCCAGATACAAAAATTTCAGACTTTGCAATCATTACACAAACAGGAAGGAATTATGGACTAAATTTCAAAACCAGGGGTAATAGGTTCCACAACCACAGATTAGCCACAATTAAATGTGACTATTACTAAAAGTCTTTAGTTAAGAAAACATAAATTTTCTCTGATTTAACATAAATACAAAAGAAATCCTTTGGAACTAGTTTACCTCTCTCAACATGTCTGGTGATATTTCTAATCATTGGAAGAGACTGAAGCTTTTTGAGTAATTTCTTTTTCTTAAGAGCCTTCCAAGCAGGAAGTGAGGTTTAGATAGAAAGGGCAGCACATACTGCACATTGTCACACAGACGCCTGTAAACTTACAACCAGACAGAATGAGAGTCAGGCCTTCTCCAATGCAGAGAAGCCTGGAGAGTTGCACAGCAAACCGAGGGAAGACAGACAGATACCCAAAGGGACCCCTCCTCCTGCTCCAAGCTCAGTAAACTTGTCAGAATATTTGTATGTTAAACCTCTTTCTTAACATCTTCTTTTCAACATGAATCCTTTTCCTTGGATACAGAGGCATGGAAAGGACACTCTTGGATATGTAAGTGTTTATGTGTGTGTGTGTGTGTGTGTGTGTGTATGTGAGAGAGAGCATGCATGACTTTTAAAAATAGCTATCTAGAATCAGATGGCTATATAAAAACGGAGAAGGATCCAAAGACACATTTTTTGTCTTTAAAACAAAGCAGGAACACTAAGAATTGCTCTGTCATTTAAGGGTGAATCCCATCCAATTTGGCTCTGGTGGGTAGATGCCAGTATCTCAATTCCGCATGTTTTCCCACAGGGTCAGGCAGAGGGAAGTAACAGCTTAGCAGCAAAGATTCAACTGTGAACAGCAATGATTTGGCAAATTGTCTCTTCAGTTGTCTTTTGTTTTCCATTTCAGAGCTCATGAATGTAAGGCCACCAGATGTAAACGTGCTCTTCTCCAGAAATCTGAAGAGCAGTACAACTCCCCCTACTTGCCTGTCTTTCAATAGCCAACTTTCAAATACCTGGTGATATCTTCAGATAGCTGGGCAGGGTCTGGTGGGTAAAATTTCACATTAAATGAAAAGTGCCAAGCACCACCTGCAGAGATGAGACAAAAATTAGAACTAAACCTTAGAAATTTTTTTCTACTTCTTATTCTAATCAATAGCAAGAATGACCTTAACTCCAAGCACTAAAATCCAGGCAAATTTTGAGCATCAGTGGGAAAAAGGAAGTCCCCCTTAAAGAAATCCACAGATATGTCTGACACTTAATCTAAATTTCTAATCTTTTCCCCTGGTCAAGTAACTTACTTGCATATCTAACTAGCAGGAAATTGAATAAACTTCCTCTCTTTCTCAGGGACAAAGATAAGACTTTTGTAGAAGGAAAAAAGTGAGTATGATATGGATAATCCTTCATCAGACAAGCCTGGAATTGACTGGCTTTATTGCTATAAGTTCCAGATAACTCACATACCAATATTACAGACATGATCCATTTCCTCTGTCCTTTCCGTTTTGTTATTAGAGGTTAAATCCCTTTATAATAAATGTCAAGGGACTCCTCAGATATTTTTATTTTATGGAAAAGTTTGTTGTTGTGAATATTTAAGGAAGTGGGCTGCTCTCTGGGCTGCTGAAACTTCTTACTCAGGGAATTTTTTTTTTTTTAAATATTTATTTTTATACAAGAATTGGGGTACAGGCCAAAGGTGTGGGGGTGTGTGTGAGAGAGGATTCACCAGAGACAGAGCAGGTTATAGAACAGGCAGATGGACCGAAGTACACTGCTGAGGGGAGCAGTGGGCGAGACAGGAGAGGTCCGGGTCTGTCCCTCCATGTGGGTTTCTCCCTGGCCGCTGGGAATTGAATTTGTGATGTGGTGGCTGCAGATTGCTTCATAGGTTGCATCTCAACCCCTGCGCCACCAGGGAGGCCCTCAGGGAAATTTTTGATTGAAGAGGTAGTTGAACATGTTTACTATGAGTTACCAAATTCTATACCTCTTATTAACTTGGACTGATACTCTTTTTTTTTAAAAAAAAAAAAAAGATTTTATTTATTTATACAAGAGGTAGGCGTACAGGCCAGAGGTGCAGGAGGGTGAGACATTTCACCAGAGACAGAGCGGGGTACAAAACAGGCAAACCGACTGAAATACACTGCTGAGGGGAACAGTGGGCAAGAGAGGAGACATCTGCCCCACCATGTGGGTATCTCCCTGGCTGGCAGGGAATCGAAATTACACTGCAGAGGCTGTGGACAGCTTCACAGCGCTGTGCTCAACCCGCTGAGCCAACTCCCTGGTGAGGGAGGCCCTTGGACTGATACTCTTTATACAGTCCAGATATACCTTGCTTTATTGAGCTTCACTTTATTATACTTCCCAGATGCTGCAATTTTTACAAGACTCTCCACTAGCAAAAAGATTATGATTTGTTGAGGACTCAGATGATGGCTACCATTTTTAAGCAATAAAGTATTTTTAAATTAAGGCATGTATACTGGGCTTTAGACATAATGCTACTGCACACTTTCAGCAGACTACAGTGTAAACATAATTTTTATATACATTTTGGTGTATATAAAAAATTCCTGTGACCTGCTTTACTGCAACATTTGCTCTAATGCAGTGGTCTGGATCCAAACCTGCAGTATCTCTGATGTGTGACCGTACCATTCTTTATTCTGGGGCATCTACTTACAGCCTTTCCAGCAGTGAAAGGGTCAACCAGCTGATGGTCACTGGACATACGCTCTGCATTGTCCACATATATACTAGAAACACTGCCTTACTAATAAGCTCTACATTTTATTAATTCTGTATATATGGGTCATCATTATAAACATCAAGAATATCCTTTTTTTCTACATTTACTCTACATGATCATTTCTTGTAAATTCTATTGATCTTGTTTTTTTTTTTCCTTATGTCCTTTTATTTATTTATTTTTTAAAGATTTATTTATTCATTTACACAAGAACCAGGGTACAGGCCAGATGTGCGGGAGGGAAAGAGGATTCACCAGAGACAGAGCGAGAAGCAGAATAGGCAGACTGACGAAATACACTGCTGAGGGGAGCAGTGGGCGGAATAGGTCTGCCCCCGCCATGTGGGACCCTCGCCGGCAGGTGGGGATCGAACCGGCGCTGCAGAGGCTGCAGACAGTTTCACAGCGTGGCACTCAACCGCCTGCGCCACCAGGGGAGGCCCTCCTTCTGTCCTTTTAATGGAGTAATTTACCAAATCTTGGGTGTTCTTTACTGGAACACTGTTTACATTTGTTCCTTCCACCCAATAACCATGCTAGGCCTTGCTTGTACTTTGCATGAGCTACTGAAAAATTCCTGCCCATATTACTGGCTACACTGGAAGAAACCTTTTCTCATGCTGTAGACATGGCGTTATTGCTCTCACTCTATGATTCTGTGACTTTACAGTCCAGCCCTTATGCTTCAAATACTCTCCTAGAACTTCAAACACTATCTTCTCCCCCTTAAATGACTTCTGGAAACTCCATTTTCTCCAAAAGCACTTCCCAAATATTCAAAAGGGATAGGATTGTAAGTACTTCCTAGTTCCCTTCTTTACACTATTCTCTAGTGCATGTGGCAAATACTGAGCTGCATAGGATTCCTATATTTCTGTCATAAATGGCATAGATCCACTTACTCTAGTTCATTCTCTTTTTTTTTTTTAAAGATTTATTTATTCATGCATACAAGAACAGGGGTACAGGCCAGATGCGCGGGAGGGTGAGAGGATTCACCAGAGACAGAGTGGGGAATAGAACAGGCAGACTGACGAAATACACCGCCGAGGGGAGCAGCAGGCGAGACAGGAGAGGTCTGCTGCACCATGTGGGTAGCTCCCTGGCCAGGGATGGAACTTTTGCTGCAGAGGCTGTGGACAGCTTCACAGTGTGGTGCTCAACCGCCTGCGCCACCAGGGAAGGCCCTTTTAGTTCATTCTTGACACTGCCATTCATATCACAATCAAGGTGCCATATATGAGGGACTTACCTAGGGTGACTTACAAAGGACTTAGACTGTGTATAGGACTGGGTACCACCGGATTATATTAATAATTATATTAATAATTTTTAAATGATTCAGAAAAGATTATTGAAACACGAGCTATAAGAATTATTGACCTGATTTTAGCTCATTCCTTGGTTGAAATTATCTCTATATTCTACATATAAGTGATACCATTCGGTATTTGTCTTTCTCCTTCTGACTTAATCTGCTAAGTAAAATTCCCTCCAGGTTCCATTCATGTTTCTGCAAATGGCAAAAGTTTATCTTTTTTTAATCGCTGAAATATCTGTCAATCAGAAATGTTTCTTGTGATTATATTTTTCTCACTGTCCCCAACAATGTCCTTTTGTTATTCTAAAAATAATTTTGTTTTACTTTCTGATTTTTGTTTTACTGATTGTTTTACTTTCCTATTGATTCCTATTCACTTTCTGTTAAATGAATGCCTTCAATGTTTGCCAGTGATGAGGTTCATAAGGAGAACTGGTTTTCCCAGAGGCAAGTGGAATTAAAGCTAAGGGAACAGTTATGGAAAATGGAAGTATTGCTCTTTTATAATTTTTACCCACTTCAAAGTATGCCTCAAAATCCAATGAACATTTAACAATGTAATTAAATAATCTCATAATAAGTTTAGTGTAAACACTCTAAATCGGAAATTAAAACATAACAAAAGCATAAGAAAGATATTTCACTGCAAAAATCCTCATTCCAGGAAAGAGAGTCTCAAACTATAGTGGGCTTAAGTGTTATCCGTAACTCATAGAAAACACGTTCAACAAGCACTGGTTTGTTCAGAACGCCAGTATCTCAGCTCTACCCAGCAATCTTTATTCCTGAGATTTGGATTATGGCCAACGAACTCATAGTTTTACCCCTTGTGATTCTAAGAGGTAGGGCCTGGAATATTTCAAAAATCACTAATCCTAAGGAATCACTTTTCTACAGTTATAATCCAAATAACTAGAAGGTTTTGCATGGTATTTTTTGGAAACAGTGGGAAAGCTTAAGAGAACTGCAATTTACATCCAAATCAAGAAAAACAAATCCAGTTAAATGAGGCATAATACTTAAAATTTATGAGAGGGAGATTAAAGTTGAGATACATATAGAGAATTTGGTTAGAAACAAATCAGCTGGGAGGATATGATTATGCAGTAAGTGGGTTTGCAGGCCTGTGTCTGCTCAGAGGATGGCCCTGGTTAAAAACAGGAAATGAGACAGTTTGAATGCATTAAAAAGTGCTATAATGCTGATATAGGATTTTAAATTACAAATTTATGATAAGTAGAAAATTGTGAAACCAAAGAGAGTTCATTCTCATGAAAAATTCTAATTTTAGTCTTATATGCCTGCCAAATCTTAAAATTTCTAAATAGATCACATTTATACCATAAAATACTATATACTGTATATTCTACATCATAAAATTGCTATATCATTAATATACTGTATGCATATAGTTATTATTTAGAAATTTTAAGATCTGGTAGGCATAAAAGATGACTAGAGTTGAAATTTTTTCATAACAACAAATGTTTTTGAGAATTTTCTCATAAATTTGTAACTTGAAAATCTCTATCAGTTTGATTGCCAGTCTCTCGAATGTCTTATTCTAGAGACATACGGTGAACCCCCAGCATGAAAATGATAAATACGTTCTTTAGAACTTATATTTAGAAAGAGGGGATTATATTAAGTACATTGGATATAATACCTCTGCCTTGGTAGAATGCAAAATTTGTAGAATTGCAAATTTTATCATCTCTTAGAGCATAGGAAACAATAAATAGAGAGGAAGCTACCAAATTCCATATTTCAAAAGATCCAAATTTCCTTATCTCATCTTTTATCTGTAATATTTTGACTTCATTTTCTTTATGTTGCAGTCAAATATGCATAATCTTTAAGATGAAAATATCCTTTAAATCTCACTTTCTGATTGCCCCTTTTGCTTTCTTCCCTTAGAAACACAACAAAGCAAAAACAGACAGTTATAAATCACAGACATCCTGCAGGGGAGGAGGAGGGAGAGGGATTAGAGGGACGGAGGGACTGAGGTGATGGTGCACGGGTGCATTGGTGAAGGAAACTATATGGGGACTACACTTGAGGGGGTGGGGGGAAGCAAATATTGTTAAAAAATGAACAATGATGTAAAAAAATTAAAAAATTAATAAAAAAAACTTAAAAAAAAAGAAAGGAAGGCAGGAAACAAGATAGATGGGAAATGACAGAAAAAAGGAATTCTATTAACAACAGAAAAAAAAAACTTTATACAGCCCTTCTTGTAACAATACTATGATTTATCCTTAATCATTGTACATCTTTTCAAAGTACTTTACAATTATAAATTATCCAAGTACAAAACATTCATTGATTAGATGTATATAGAGAATTTATGCACACAAAATATTATATGTTCAGCATAAAAAGTTCTTAGAACATATTCATCATCTCAAATTTGTTCATTAGTACTCTGGAACAAAAAGAAGCAGTGTTTTTACCTACTTATCACAACTGTAGTTGTCTGTGGTTTTGATTCCAATTTATTTATATTAAAATACTTTATTATCAAATTTTGGGGTAGTGAATGTATTAATATTTTTTTCTAAGAAATATGGTAAAGATATTTTTATTGCATAGTCAGCAGACTTAATAGACATTACTTTTCTCTTCGTTTGAGATATTTATCTAGTATCAAGTAATTTCAAATTGCTCATTACCAATTACTTTTTTATTAGTACTTGGAGTATTTTGACATCTCAGGACATTCAAACAAACTAGAAATAATGACTTTTTTAAAATAATAAACTACTGAAAACCTCAGTGGGAATGATGTGCTTATTACTAAACTAGTATTTTAAATTTATCTTTCATACTTGCATAAAACAAGAAACAAACCTTTGAAATATGGTTTATAATCTTGAAGTAAGTTTTTTTTTAGTGTCTTGAAATTAATGGGATAGTCTTGCTTAAAAATAGCTTCTGCCATTAAAATCATACACACTTTAGATTGATTTGTTTCATTTGCCTAACACTATTCTAGTAAAGTGTCTATATTGTTAAGATGAAAAAAATAAATTTATCTTTCAACCAGAATTAGTTGTTCAGGAAAATTAATATGGATTTTGATAAAAATATAAACTACTCTAAAAAAATCAAAGTTAATATAACTGTTTAAAATACAACATTTCATATTTATAAAGACTATCCATGTTTATAGTCAAGACAAAAGCTATAGAAAAGAGCTAAAAACAATTTTTTAAATTCTTCTTTATTACAGCATACTTCTGGAAATTATTACTGTTGATATCTTTCACACTCTTCCAAAAATTTTCCATGTATCTATATATGCACAATTTATTTAAAACACAAATTTGTTTTTTCTGGCCTTACTCATATCCCATTTATGAGACATATTTACACTCCCTCATTTAATTAATAACTGCCTAGTATTTCATGGCTAGTCCATGATTAATTTAGTCATTTTTTCATAAGTGGATATTTAAGTTGCTTCTAGTTTTCTGCCTCTGCACATATTATTATGATAAACTTTTCATACTTATGCACTTCTATCTTTATCCATATGCTGGATAAATTCCTGCATGTAAAATGAAGGCTCAAAGAATAAAAACATTTTCAATTTTAATAAATACTGAAAAAATGTCTTCTTAAAGGATTGTATCCATTTATACTTTTACCAACTGTGTACATATTTGCCAGTGCAGCATGTTATTAAACTTTTAATATCCTGTTTAAATCTCTGTAAATCCTAATAGACTAAAAGTGATGTCTTTTTAATTTGCCTTTGTTAGTAATATTTAACACTTTGTCTGATGTCTACTAGCTACTTCTATTTCAATTTAGTGAGTTGCTCATGCAACTGTTTCATCCATTTGAAAATATTCAATCCTTAATTTGCCTTTAGGAGCTGAGAATAGAGGATATCACCAGATAGTCAACTTCAGTGTGACTTGTTACTTCATGTCTACACTATCAAATGACTGTATTTTTAAGCTTGACTTTTTTATGGCAACTAGAATATAACATTAATAATTAAGTTTGGAACTTTCAAATGATTAATTGCCAATAGGGGTCAACTGATTAAATTATATTTCACATATGTATCTGGACATAGGAGTTGGTCAAATGTCACAGACCTTTCATTGCAAGTTGCAGTGATTAAAAAGGGTATCTGAACTAGACAAATATGCTAAAGATCAAATGTACCTTTTAAATATTTGTATTCACACTAGTCACATGGGGTATAGGCTATCATTTATGCTCCCCCCGAAAATCTTCACATTTCCATGTAAAATAATCCAGAAGAACTTACTTCGAATCTGTTTTTTAATTTCTTTAGCAGGGTCCAACCAATTCTGAAAAGGAAATGACATTTTTGAATTTGTACCAGGAAAGTATAAAAATGACTTGATGTTGATCAGGAAGAGACATGTACTAAGTATATTTGAGAGTGAGTTGTTGCTGGAAGGCTTGCCCTGGAGCCAGGCCACATGAGGGCCCAGACACTGGTCTAATGAGAAAATGTGTGTGCACAATTCATGTTTGACAACAACCTTTTTGTTTACAATCACTGCCTTCAGGGATTCCAGCTAGCACAGAAATGAAGAAGGAAAAATTAGTGGATCTATATTCAAACAAGTTACTAGAATAAATTAAAGTACATCTAACTTGATATACCAATATCCAAGCAATTCAGTACCATTTAATGATTTCCATGACTACAGATTCTTAGATACCTACTTAGAAAACTTTCCCAGTAAATGAACGCTTGTTTCAGATATATGATTTTTCTCATCAGAAAACTCAGATGTTTAATAATAGACTTAGACAGTTTGGTGAATTCACAAAACACCAAAACAAGTAACATCTATGAACAAAATTTCTGACACAGTTTCTACCACTAACACCACAGAAACGATCTCCTTTACATTAGTTTGCTGGTAGTTGTGAAGCTTACTAAGGTGAAGCCCTGAATAGACTGCATCAGTCAATGAGTCTGCAGAGGTATTACATCAAACATTAAATTCCTACTTAATGCATTAGACTAGTGTCAGGTCAGCAGACAACCCATCTCATATTCTTATCTGGCAAAATATGAGAGCATAAATAAGAATAGGACAGTAGTCCAGTGAACATATTTTCTATATAAGTATCAATGTATTTGATTTCCATTGGCTCAAGTCCACTGAAATAGAGCACCCAATAAAATCACCATATAAAATGCTTTCCTGGAACTATATATAATGCAAGCTTGAAAAACAGAAACATTTTATGTTTCCAGAATATTCAAGATTAAAGGAATTGTCAAGAAGAAATAAGGAGGCTAACAGCATTTAGGAACTCAAAGTGTTAGTGTTACAGAGCAATCCCGATATGAAACAGGTTGCCTGACTGTGGGTCCTCACCCATGTGCTTACAGGGGACTTATTAATGCTAAACTGCACACAAAAGGTTAATAAAAGGTTTATTTACAAGGGAAGGGGAAATGAGGAAATGAATAACTCAGGGAGAAAAAGAGGGAGATAAATTTGTAAATGTGACCTACCTGTTGTGCTGACCTGGAATTCCAATGACCCACTAAGAGCTGGCGAAAAGCCAAGCACCATGGGGCCCAAAGCACAACCACTACCCACATGGCTGGTTATATACCCAAACAAAAACATGGCTGCTTAACTCCACCCTCAGTTCCTCGCAACCCTCCCTTTGGTGATCATGGGATTTGTAGTTCCCAGTGTCTTAGTGGCTCTGGTGTGGAGTGGGGACAGAGTCCACAAAACCTGTATGGAGTTTGCTCATGACATCCTTTCCCCCTAACAAAAGTAGTAAATATGGGAGTTTGAGGGGAAGCAGAGCAAATTGCCCATCTATTCAGTTTTATATGCTTTCATGCACCAATGATTAATTTGAAGCATAATATTTTGTATTGTTTTTAATCACACACCTTTTGGTTTTCAGCATCCCGATATGTAAGTCCAAAGTAATCTTTTTCTAGCAAGTTCAGATGTTCACATACTTTATCAAACAGCACTTGGCCTCTGGAGCGTTTCTATGGCAAACAAAAGAGAAAAACAAGTCAACACACAAGTTCTCCCAAATACAGATTACCACATACAAGAGCAAACAACATTGTTTGTTATAACTTTTCAGTAAATGAAGATCAGGTATGATCACACCACCATCTCCTTTTAACTAGGAAAAAGGCTCAATGGACCTATATTTACAATAAGACTGCCACTATACACAAATAAGCAAAACAAAAAATTGCTAGTATGACTGAGTAAGCACAGAAAACCCACAATGATTTCTAAACAGAAGTAGCTGGGGAAATGATGTAGCACTGGGAAGCCTCAAATGTCTTGTGAAATATAAAATCCCGACAGTGAAGAGCATGAAAGAACCAATAAAAGCCACCTTTCTGGAAAGGACCAATAAAAGCCACCTTTCTGAACTCAGGTAAGAACCAGTTCTTACAGCAGATTCCACACAGCAGCAGATCTGAGTCTGAAAATTCACCTTACTTCTTGTTTTAGGCAGACCTTCCTTAAAACATATTTCAATTCCAGCTATGGGTTACTTTCTAAAATCCACTAATATGATTTCATTAGATTATTTTGGTTTTTGCCACAAATTTCAGTTCTGTATTACAGTGATTGACTTTCTCTTAATTTCATTTAGAAAAAATCCTATTAAGTTTAAGAAAATGTTCATTAAATTTAAAGATTTTAGATATCATTAATAAATAGAAGATAGAGATGCACATGCTATATTTTTTTAACATAAAGTAGTGATTTGGAGAAAGGTTATCATCCAGGGAAAATCCATCAGCTGAATTCATAGTGACAAACAGTATTATATTTTCATCTAATGCTTAAAGGTCTCTCAACATGGCCTTGGAGTCTGAGATGGATTAACGAGAAACAATTTATCTAAACTATGTATTTTGTTTGAGTCTACTAACATTTCATATTTGAGTTTAAGATTTAACATAATAACAATGAGAAATGTGAAAATTGATAAACAATGTACATTCCACAGTCATAAGCATTCAAGAGACCTGTAAATGGTGAGTATTACTGTGCAACATAATCATATTGAAAGTTAATTGCTTAGTCTCCCCAAGCATGACTATTAAGAAAAAAAGATAAATTTATGATAGAAAAGTAAAGCCTGAATTGAGCTAGCTAAGTAATCAAGATGTATTTGAAAAAAAGTTTAATAATGTATAAAAATAAATTATGTGTTAGCAAAACTACATAACAACATTACTCAAAAGATATGAATAAATGGAATGACAACGAAATGCTGCTTGCTGATTTAAATCTTTCATTTATAAATAATAACATATTATTTCTGAATAATGCTTAACAAATTATAAAGTTTTCACAAAAAACTAGTTCCTCTGATGCTTTTATTGGTTTTATCTCCAGTCTACAGATAAGAACATAGGTGAGAGAAATAGTGCTATGTAATTGGTATGAGTGGTGGCTATAGCAGATAAACCTGAGTTTGTATCTTTTTTTTTAAAGATTTATTTATTTATTTATTCATACAAGAACCAGGGTACAGGCCAGAGGTGTGGGAGGGTGAGAAGAGTCACCAGAGACAGAGCGGGGAACAGAACAGGCAGACTGATGAAATACACTGCTGAGGGAGCAGAGGGCGAGACAGGAGAGACCCTCGCCGGCTGGCCGGGATCAAACCTGTGCTGCAGAGGCAGTGGACAGCCTCAAAGCGTGGCACTCAACCACCTGCGCCACTAGAGGAGGCCCTGACTTTGTATTATCATCATGCCCCATCCACTCATGTAAACCTGTCTTTTATGCTATAAAATGGGTAAGATACCCACATATTTCTTTGGGATGGTTAACATTAAAATATTCAAACTTGGTCTAGAGACAGCACATCAAACATGCCACAAATGTCAGCTTTTATAGCCCAAATGTTAGTACAAATGGCAGGCTAAGTAATGGGCAACTTTGCCATTTTTACAGTAGGAGCACATAAACAACCCTTGTGAGTCCAAAGACCAGCTTTAGTATTAACATGTCCTGCTCACTCTTTAGATATCAATTACCTGCTTACTAATTATTGCTTTAGCTAGATTTACACAGACATACACACTCATACACACAACTCCACATCAGTGTCTGTCCAAAAACTTTCTCAGTGAGTGAAAACAAAACAAAAATGAATACATAAATTTATCTCTGCAAGGTCTCCTCTTATCCTCCAACCAGCAGACCATACTCAGCGCCTCACTGGAGAAACTGCTTCTGAATATGCCCCAGGCTGCAGGAGCAGGGTTTAATTAGCTCTCTTATGGTTACTGTGTTATTCCTTTGGTTTACTTCAAGCACAGACCACCATATTAACTGGCTCTTAATTTCCTGGTTTTCACAATTTGACTGCTATTAACAACTCATTTTTCTCTTAAAAAGGCTAGATTATTTTTCTAACTTAATATTTTAAACATCTTTTGAATATTATAAACAGTTCTTAAGACAATTATGTGGTATACCATACTTCACACTGCAGTTTCTCCCTCCTCCCCAAAATCACAATCCATTTTCTAGAATCTACTATACATGGCTATATGGAAATAGTGAAATTCCTACCTGCTAATCAGCTCCACAGTCAAATATTGTTTAAAAATGAACAACGATGTAAAAACAATTTAAGAAAAAAAAATTTTAGTCTTATTTGTTGTTTCTTTTGAATTGACTCATGTCTCTAGACTCAAAGACATTCATAATTCATAGGTACCATTCACAATTAACCCACAAAAATCCAGAAACATGGACTTTGCCTCCCTAGAACGATAAACCTATGGTGGACTACTCTTTCAAAATTGCACTAAAAATTTGGATTTCTATTTCTGATACAGTAAATGGGAATATTACAACCCGGAAATCTGAAACACTTCCAATATCCTATGAATATAAAATTCTCAAGCAATTTAAATAACTCTCATTCTATAATTTGTTGTTTAAATTTTTAAAATTCCAAATTGATTCACTGAATGTTCCATATTAGGAGAGGAGTGTCAAAAGAGAAAGAAGAAGATAACCTACAGTCTGGAAGAAAATATTTGTAAATGACATTCCAATAAGGGAGTGGTATCCCAAATATACAAGGATTCTGAAAATGTAATAAAAATAACATAAATCAAAAAATGAGCAAAAGAGCTGAACAGGCAGCTTCCCAAAGAGATGGCAAATAAGCAAGTGAAAAGATGCTCAACATCATATGTAATGGGGGAACTGCAAATTAAAATAATAGGCTACCATTACAATCCTTTAGAATGGCCAAAATACAAAACACGAACACCACCAAATGTTGGCAAGGAGGTGTAGCAATAGGAACTCATATTCCTTGTTGGTGGGAATACAAAATGATGTAGCTGGCTTTCAAATAATCTTTCTTTTTTTTTCTCTATAGAGTAAATGTCTTTATTTCTTCTTACATATGTGCGTGTTGTATACATTTTTTAAATTGAAGCAACATTGTTTTACAACACTGTATATGATTTAGGGGAATAGGTTCACACCTCTTCAGATGTATGTTATCACACCACATAAACTACCATTTTCCTTGGTATTTATACAAAGGAGTCAGAAACTTACGTCCATAAAAAAAAAAAACCTGCATAAGGATGTCTTATAGCAGCTTTTTTCACAATTGCCAAAATGTAGAAGCAACCAAGATGTCATTCAGTAGGTGAATGGGTAAAGGATATTATAATCCAGAGAATAAAATATTTAGCACTAAAAAGAAATAGCTATCAAGACATGAAAAGACAGGAGGAAACCTTAAATGCATATTGCTAAGTGAAATAAACCAATTTGAAAAGGCTACTGACTGTATTAAGTCTAACTATAAGATTTTCTGAGAAAGGAAAAACTTTGAAGACAGTAAAAATATCAGCAGTATCCAGGGTTTGTGGGGAGGAAGAGATGAATGTAAAGAAGGATTTCCAGGGCAGTGAAATTATTCTGTAAACTATAAATGTGAATACCTATAATAATATACTTGTCAAAACCCACCGAATGTATCACACAAAGAATGAACCCTAATGTTAAATATGGACTTCAATTAATAAAAATTGATCGATTCAACAAATACAGTACACTGACATTAATGCTAAAAGTGGAGCAAGAAGGGAGAAGAAAGTGTGAAGGGCCTATGAAAACTTTCTGTATTTGCCAATCACTTTGGCAAAACCCTAAAACTGTTTCCAAAAAAGAAACTGACAAAATATACTCAGTCTTACTTCACGTGGTTTATAAATAATTTATTAAATATTTATTGTTTATTAAATATTTATTAAGGCATAATAAAGTTAAACTCCAAATGATCATACTTATATCATGACTAAATAAACACAATTTTTATTAGGAGCAAACATTTTAGAAAGATCAGAAACTATAGTAACAACCAAAATAACATGTAAAATCCTTCTATGAAAACTGTACAATCTTTCTAGGAAAGGCTGCCTCTCCCTGCATCCGGCAAATACACACCCAGGAGTCACCCGCCTCAATGCCTGGGGCTAAGCCGAGATGATGTGTTGACAACACAAGCTGGGCACCAGATCAAAGTGACTTCTCATCAGCTAACTGTACCACTGGGTAATCCAAACCACAAACATGTGAAATGTTGTAATAGCTAAGGTTCAGAGGCTCTCTTTGGTCACCAAGTTTAAGAAGATGCATCCATCATCACCACTCAAACATAGCAGATGAAATAAGTTTTTCTGCAGCATTAATGAAACGTCTCACAAGTCAAAAGTCAGTCCAGATTTGTACAAAAATGTTTGTAAAATGCTGGTTCCAAATATATGGTTACACAACCAGAATCATATAGGAAGCCCATATTGGAATCCTTATTTTTATATTTATATGTCCACTTAGGGAAGTAATTTTTGAAAATAACTTTCAAAACAATTTAAGATGGTGAATTTCAAACATACAAAATTATGAAACCCTGCACATTCACCACTCAATCTCAAAAGATCAGTTCACTGACAGTTCTACTCAACTCATTCTC